CCCAGCAGATTCCTCACCCACAGCCCCTCTGACCCCCCAGAGACTGACTGGACATGAATCCAGTCCTGGCATAAATTCCCAGCAGATTTCTCACCCACAGCCCCTTCGATGGATCATGGACAGACAGGGGATGAGGGAAATCCATCCTGGCAGAAATTCTCAGCACTTTCCTCACCCACAGCTCCTTTGTCCCCTCACAGGGAATGAGGAAAATCCAGCCTGGCACAAATTCCCCTCACAAACTTCACCCACAGCCCCTTCAATGTCTCATGGACAGCCAGGGGATGGGGGAAATCAGGCCTGGTACAAATTCCCCTCACAGTTCACCCACAGCTCCTTTAACACCTCAGAACTTGACAGGGCATGAGGGAAATCCATCCTGGCTCAAATTCCCAGCAGAATCCTCACCCACAGCCCCTTCGATGTGTCATGGACAGACAGGGAATGGGGAAAATCCAGTCTGGCACGAGTTCCCCTCATGATCCTCACCCACAGCTCCTTTGACCCCTCAGAACCTGACAGGGCATGAGGGAAATCCATCCTGGCACAAATTCCCAGCAGATTCCTCACTCACAGACCCTTCGATGCGGGGGGACAGTGTGGGGACAGTGGGGGACAGAGTGGGGACAGTGGGGGACAGTGTGGGGACAGCGCTCCGTGGCTGCGGGGCCCGGTGGCAGCGCTGCATCCCCGCGCTGCAGCAGCGAGCCGGGCATGGAGATCTGCTCCAAAAACCGCAGGAATGTGTCCCCTCCGTGTCCCCTCCGTGTCACCTCTGTGTCACCTCTTCTTCCCCCACGGGCGCGAAGGAAAAATCCGTGACCTTCTGGGGATGAGGGGATGGGAACGGAGCGGGGGAGGAGCAGGGAGGGCTGAAATCCTTCGGGATGCAGCCCCGGGAAAGGCACAAAAATGTGGGAATAACCGGGGAGAAATAACCTTCAGCCTTGTGGGGATGGAAACGTGGGGGAAATAAGGGGGAAAAGGAGCAAGGGCGCTCTGCCGGTGCTCAGGGATGCTCATATCCTACAGGATGCAGTCCTGGAAAAGGCATGGAAGCACGGCAAAAGCCGGGAATAACCGGGAAGAAAAACGCCTCAGCCTTGTGGGGGCAGGGATGGAAACGTGGAGGGGGAAACGGAGCAGGGGGGGCTCTGCCGGTGCTCGGGGATGCTCAGATCCTCCCGGTAAAAGGCACGGAACACCACGGGAATAACCGGGAAGAAATAACCTCAGCCTTGAGGGGATGCGGGGATGGATCCGGAGGGGATAGGGCAGGGGGGAACGAACGAGGGGGGGCTCTGCCGGTGCACCGGGATGCTCAAATCCTACAGGATGCAGTCCCGGGAAAGGCATAAAAAACCGGGAATAACCGGGAAGAAATAATCTTCAACCTTGTGGGGATGGAAACGTGGGGGGAATAAGGGGGGAAAAGGAGCATGGGGGGCTCTGCCGGTGCTCCGGGATGCTCAAATCCTACAGGATGCAGTCCCGGGAAAGGCATAAAAGACCGGGAATAACCGGGAAGAAATAACCTCAGCCTTGAGGGGATGGGGGATGGATCCGGGGGGGATGGGGCAGAGGAAAACGGAGGTGGGGGCTCTCCCGGTGCTCGGGGATGCTCCATCCTCAGGGATGCAGCGGCGGAGGAAGGCACGGAACAACCTGCGAATAACCTGGAAGAAAATCCGCTCAGCCTTGCGGGGCTGCAGCGCCGGGAAGGCGGCGGGGGGAGGCGGCGGAAGGCGGCGGGGGGGCTCTCCCGGTCCCCGGGGATGCTCCGCGCTCGGCGATGCGGCTCCGCCAGCAAAACCGGGGCGCATCCCTCACCCCACAACCGCATCCCCCCACATCCCCAACCCCGCCGCGGGGGCGACCGCTGCCCCCCGCGTTTCCCCCGCGTTCCCCCCGCGTTTCCCCCGCGTTCCCCCCGCTCCCGGAGCCCGGCACTGACCCGAAAGAGGCGGCGGGAGCAGGCGCGGCGCAGCGCGGTCCAGCCCAGCGCGCAGAGCCCGCACAGCAGCACCTCCGCCCAGCCCAGGTGCGCGTTCTCGGCCCAGGTGCGCAGCGCCAGCTCCCAGCCGCAGTCCCCGCAGCTGCGGGCGGCCGCGGCCAGGCTGCCGTAACCCCGGCGGAGCAGCTCCCCGTAACCGGGCATGGGCTCCGGAGGAGGCGGCATCGCGGAGCTGCCACGGCCGCGGCCCCGCGCAGGCTCCGGCGGGGCGGGCACCGAGCTCCCCCCGCGCCGGTACCGGGCTGGAGCCGCCCCCTGGCACGGCCCGGCCCCCTCGGGCTCGGCCGGGGCTCCCGGAGGGGGCGCGGGGAGCGGAGAGAAAAGAACGCGGGGGGAACGCGATGGAGGCGCCGCGGGAGGGGGAAAAAAAAGGCGAATTTCGGTACCGGGGGTGATGGAAACGGGGGGAGCTCTGTGCGCACCCGGGGAAGCGCGGGGGGCGGCTGGGAGGGGCACGGCGATGGCACGGCCATGGCACGGTGATGGCACGGTGATGGCACGGCCATGGCACGGTGATGGCACAGCGCGGAGCCGCCACTGCTGGGACTCGGGGGCCGCTTTGGGGGTCTCAAGTGCCAATTTTGGGGTCTCAGGTGCCGTTTTGGAGGTTTTAGGTGCCAATTGAGGGGATTCGAGTATGAATTTGGGGGTCTCAGGTGCCATTTTGGGGTCTCAGGTGCCAATTTTGGGGATTCGAGTGCAAATTTGGGGGTCTCAGGTGCCAGGTTGGGGGTCTCAGGTGCCAATTGAGGGGATTCGAGTGTGAATTTGGGGGTCTCAGGTGCCAATTTTGGGGTTTTAGGTGTCAGTTGAAGGGATTTGAGCGTGAATTTGGGATCTCAGGTGCCACTTTGGGAGTCTCAGGTACCACTTTGGCGGCCTCAGATGCCAATTAAGGGGATTCAAGTGTGAATTTGGGAGTCTCAGGTGCCACTTTGGGGTCTCGAGTGCCACTTTGGGGGTCTCAGATGACAGTTTGGGGGTCTCAGGTGCAAATTTTGAGGTCTCAGATGCTGATCTGGGGGTCTCAGGTGCCAATTTTGGAGGTTTTAGGTGCCAATTGAAGGGATTTGAGTGCAAATTTGGAAATTCGAGTGCAAATTTGGGTGCCTCAGACGCCACTTTGGGGTCTCAGATGCCAATTGAGGGGATTCGAGTGCGAATTTGGGGGTCTCAGGTGCCAATTTTGGAGGTTTTAGGTGCCAATTGAGGGGATTCGAGTGCGAATTTGGGGGTCTCAGGTGCCAATAAAAACGATATAAATATAAAACAAACCCGATATAAATACAAAATAAACCCCATACAAACATGAAATTTAAAAAATAAAAACCTCAACAAAATACAATTTTAACCTCATTTTAAGCCCCCGGGTCCCCCCCGGGTCCCCCCTGAGCACACTGAGCCCTTTCAGAGCGGCACAAAGGGACAAAGGGACATTGAAGGGACACTGAAGGGACACTGATGCCCGAGCCAGGCGGGCACAAAGGGACCTTTCAGTGCCACCAGGGCCGGCCGGGAGAATCCCGAAACTCGGGGGAAATGCCAGGGGGAGGGGACAGAATTCCTAAAAACCCAGGGAAATTCCCATGGGGATCTGTGCCACAATAATTCCTAAAAAATCCAGGTTGGGCCCGGCAGGGATTGAGGAAATTTCACGGGGAGGGGGAGTCAGAATTCCTAAAAAATCCAGGTTGGATCTGGCTGGGATTGGGGAAATTCCCATGGGGATTTCTGGCACAAGAATTCCTAGAAATCCAGGTTGGATCTGGGAGGGATTAGAGGAATTCCCATGGGCATTTCCGGCAAAAGAATTCCTAAAAATCCAGGTTGGATCTGGCTGGGATTGGGGAAATTCCAGGGAGATTTCTGCCACAATAAATACTAAAAAAAATCCAGGTTGGATCTGGTAGAGATTGAGGAAATTCCATGGGGATTTCTGGCAAAATAATTCCTAAAAATCCAGGTTGGACCCAGCTGGGATTGGGGAAATTCCAGGGGGATTTCTGCCACAATAATTCCTAAAAAAATCCAGGTTGGATTTGGGAGGGACTGGGAAAATTCCAGGGGGATTTCTGGTAAAATAATTCATAAAAATCCAGGTTGGACCAGGCTGAGGTTTGGGAAATTCCAGGGAGATTTCTGCCACAATAATTCCTAAAAAATCCAGGTTGGATCTGGTAGGGATTGGGGAAATTCCAGGGGGATTTCTGTCACAATAATTCCTAAAAAATCCAGGTTGGATCTGGCTGGGATTGGTGACAAGGACGCTGCAGGAGTGACATCAGACTCGGCCTGTTACAGAGAATTATTTTTATTTTTATTTCTTTTTATTAGTATTCTTTTCCTTTCTTTATTATTTTGGGGTTTTCCCTCTCGCCAGCAGCCAGCCCAGGGATTTTTATCCCAAAGGGAATTGTCAGAAGGGCTGGAGGATGATGCAGAATTTGGGATGGATCTGTGGAGATTTTGGAATTTCCCCTTCCCACTCTCCCCTCCCCACCCCAAAAATTCCAGGGACAGAGATCCAGGAACAAATTCCATTTCTTGGGAATGGCTCAGGTGCTCTGGGGATCTCCTTGGAGCAGAGTTCAGGGCTCAGGTGGGGCTTGAAACCCAAAATTTCACCCCAAATTTGGGGGTTCCCATAGGAGCTGGGGTGCAGAGGGGATTTCCTGGGTTCCAGAGGGGATTTTTTGGGTCCCAAAGGGAATTTTTTAGGTTCCAGAAGGGATTTTTATTGTTCCAGAGGGGATTTCTGGGTTCCAGGGGGAATTTTCTGAGTTCCAGAGAGGATTTTTTGTGTTTCAGGGGGAATTTTTTGGGCTCCAGAAGGGATTTTTCCTGTTCCAGAGAGGATTTCTGGGTCCCAAAGGGGATTTTTTGGGTCCCAAAGGAGATTTTTTGTGTTTCAGGGGGGATTTTCCCTGTCCCAGAGGAGATTTTTTGGGTCCCAGAGGGATTTTTTGGGTCCCAAAGGGGGTTTTTTGGGTCCCAAAGGAATTTTTTGGGACCTAAAGGGGATTTTTTGGGTGCCAGAGGGATTTTTTGGGTCCCAAAGGGATTTTCCAGGCTCAGGCACTGGGTGCATATTGCAGGGCCAGGCGGTCAAAGTCGTTCTCCTACAACCACAGCCAAAAAGAAATGGATTAAATTAATCACTAATTAATCATTAATTAATTATTACCAATCAATCATCCTCCAGTTCACATTTCTCACCCTCCTCTACCTGAACACACCACAATCAGCTCCCCAAAACTAAATTTATTCCAGCAGCAAATCCCATTTATCCCTTTTTTATCATTTTTATCATTTGCTTCTATTCCCTTCCCCTCTCCCCAAATTCCCTCTCCCATTTTTTTTTTCCTGTTTTGAGCACAAAATTTCCACCTGGATTAAAAAATCTGCATTTTTTTTTTCTTCCAGGCTTGGGATTCCCAAAAGGAAAAACTCAACGAGATGGAGCTGCCCCACTTGGGATTTGTTTGGAAAGAACCCCCTGATGGGGGAAAATTCAATTTATTTCATTTATTTCTAAGATTATTTCTATTTTCTGCCATTCCTTACCTTGGCCTGGTACTCCTTGATGAAGGGATGGTTTTTGTGAGCATCTTTAAGCTGGGACAGGTAACGATTGGTGACCTGGAGGGACAAAAAAAATTCAATTTTCAGATGGCAGAGTGGAACAAATCCCACCTAAATGTGAGGGTTTTTTTACACCTAAAATCCTGAATTTCTCACTGTCCCAGTTCAAACCAGTAGGAGCCATGCACACACTTGAAATAAAAAATAAAACTCTTTAAAATCAACTTTCCAAGTGGTTCCAAATAAAAAAAAAATAAGATCAGGAAGAGGTGAACTTGGAACTCCAAAGGTTTTTGCTGCCCAGGTTTTTTTATCTCACTAATCTGGAATTCTGGAATGGTTTGGGTTGGAAGGGACCTCGAGGATCAAGGAATTCCATGGGAAAAATCAAATCCCCCAAATCCCAAACAGATCCCTGGGGCTGTGAGCTCCCCATCCCCAAAATGGTCCCAAAATGAGCCCATTTACCCCACCCCCAGCCTGACCCCATTTCCCCCCAAATGACCCCGCTGACCTCGGGGGCCTTGCCCAGGTGCTGGGACAGCACCACCAGGTTCAGCAGGGTCTCGGGGTGCCCGCTGTCCTGCAAGAGAGGGTGAGCAAAGGGAAAAAACAAACCCAGACAGGATCTGGGAACTTCTGGGATGGGATTCCCACAGAATCCCCACGGCTGGAGTGTCCCAGGATGGCCTGGAGCCACCTGGGCTTGTGGAGGTGGAATGGAATGATAATAAAATATAAAATAAATAAAATAAAATAAAATAAAATAACAAATAAAATAAAATAACCAATAAAATTAAATAAAATAAAATAACCAATAAAATAAAATAACCAATAAAATAAAATAAAATAACCAATAAAACAAAATAACCAATAAAATAGAACCAATAAAATTTAATAAAATAAAATACAATATAATAAATAAAATATAGGATTAAATACAACTCAATATGACATAAAATATAAAATACTATTAAATACTAAAACGAAATAAAATATTATAAAACAAAGTACAATGAAATGAAATGAAAAGAAATGAAATGAAATTAAATAAAATAAAATAAAATAAACCACTCTGCAAGGCCAAGCACAGCGAGGTGGATCCATAAATTGTCACAGCTGTGGATTGGAGCAGGAGAACTCCTGGGAATTTGGGGTGTCCCTTGTCCCCGTGGGGACCCTCTGGGCTGTCCCTTGTCCTCGTGGGGACTCTCTGGGCTGTCCCTATAGGATTGGGGATGTCCCTTGTCCCCGTGGGGACCCTCTGGGCTGTCCCTTGTCCATGAGAGGACACTTTGGGCTGTCCCTGTGGGATTGGAGATGTCCTTGTCCCTGTGGGGACACTTTGGGCTGCCCCTATAGGATTGGGGCTGTCCCTTGTCCCCCTGGGGACCCTCTGGGCTGTCCCTTGTCCATGAGAGGACACTTTGGGCTGCCCCTATAGGATTGGGGCTGTCCCTTGTCCCTGTGGGGGCCCTCTGGGCTGTCCCTGTGGGATTGGGGCTGTCCCTTGTCCCCGTGGGGGCCCTCTGGGCTGTCCCTTGTCCCCCTGGGGACCCTCTGGGCTGTCCCTTGTCCCCATGGGGACCCTCAGGGCTGTCCCTTGTCCCCCTGGGGACCCTCTGGGCTGTCCCTTGTCCCTGTACCTTGTCCAGAGCCTCCTGGAGCAGCCCCTCGGCCTCGTCCCAGCGGCCCTGGGCCATGGCAGCAGCAGCCTGGCCGTTGAGCAGCAGCAGCGAGGGGCAGTACCTGTCTGCCAGCTCCTGGAAGGTGTAGAAGGCATCCTGCAGCTTCTCCCCACCCTGCAACGGCAGCAGGACAGCCTGGGTCAGCCCTGGGCTGGGAAAGCCTCATTTACATCTCTGGGGTCAGCCCTGGGCTGGGAGAGCCTCATTTACATCTTTGGGGTCAGCCCTGGGCTGGGAAACCCTCATTTACATCTTTGGGGTCAGCCCTGGGCTGGGAAATTCTGATTTATATCCTCAGGGTCATCCCTGGGATATCCTCATTTATATCCAGGGTCATCCCTGGGCTGGGAAACCCTGATTTATATCCTCAGGGTCATCCTTGGCCTGGGAAATCCTCATTTACATCTTTGGGGTCATCCCTGGGCTGGGAATTCCTCATTTACAACCACAGGGTCATGGGAATTCCTGATCTCCATCCTTGGGGTCATCCCTGGGCTGGGAATTCCTGATTTACAACCACAGGGTCATCCCTGACCTGGGAATTCCTGATTTACAGCCAGGGTCACCCCTGGGCTGGGAAACCTTGGCTGACATCCTCAGGGTCACCCCTGGGCTGGGAAACCTTGGTTGACATCCTCAGGGTCACCCCTGGGCTGGGAAATCCTGATTAGGAGTTTATTTAATGGGAACCCCAGGTGTGACCCTGGATCCAGCAATTTGAGTTTATTTATTAACAGAAACCCAAGCTGTGTGACCCAGGATCCAGGAATTGGAGGAGTTTGTTTCCATCCCTCCTGCACCCCCAAACTCTGGTTTTGCCCCATTTCCAAACCTCTTTAAGGACATTTTGTGTCCTGGAGTCTGGATGGGGGCAGCAGAGCAGCTCCCTGGGGTATTTGGGGATGTTTTGGGGATCTTTGGGACCATCTGGCACCCACCGAGGCCAGGTTCACCCAGGCTGTGGCCAGCTGGGTCAGGGTGGCATCCTCATCCTGCTCCTGCATTTTCTTCAGCTCCTTCCTGCAGGAAAAATGGGAATCACAAAGGAAAAGGGATTTCAGCACAAAACCAAAAAAATTGGGGGTTTTCCCCTTGAGTTTTCTGTGTTTTATTTCATCAGGAGAGGCCTGGTTTGAGTCCTGGAAATGGGAAAAGAGAAGGAGAAAAAGGAGAATGGAAAGGAGAAGGAGAAGGGAAAAAGAAAAGGAAAAATGAAAAAGGGAAAGGTAAATTGAAAAAGGGAAAGGGGAAGGAAAAGAAAAATGAAAAAGGGAAAGGAAAAGGGAAAAGGAAAAAGGGAAAAGGGGAAAAGGGAAAGGAAAAAGGGGAAAGGAAAAGGGGAAAGGAAAAAGGGGAAAGGAAAAAGGGGAAAGGAAAAAGGGGAAAGGAAAAAGGGGAAAGGAAAAGGGAAAAGGAAAAAGGGGAAAGGAAAAGGGGAAAGGAAAAAGGGAAAGGAAAAAGGGAAGGGAAAAAGGGAAAGGAAAAAGGGAAAGGAAAAAGGGAAAGGAAAAAGGGGAAAGGAAAAAGGGGAAAGGAAAAAGGGGAAAGGAAAAAGGGGAAAGGAAAAAGGGGAAAGGAAAAGGGAAAAGGAAAAAGGGGAAAGGAAAAGGGGAAAGGAAAAAGGGAAAAGGAAAAAAGGAAAAGGAAAAAGGGAAGGCCAATCCCACCTGGCCAGGTCGAGTCTGTCGAGCTTCAGCAGGATCTGGATCATCATGGCCAAGCTGCAGGGACAGGAGAACAGGGACACAGCTGGATTCCCAGCCCAGGAACATCTGCACAGGGCTCAGGGACACCTGGGGTGGTCCTGGGGGTCCCTCCTGACCCCAGCTCTGAGCCCTGGAGCTGCTCCAGCTCCTTCTCAGCTCAAATCCCACATGGATCAATATCCAGTATCCAATGCTCCCCTGACCATTCCTGGTGCTGATCCCTGTTTGTGACCCCATTTTTGGGATTGAAATGGGGGAGGAAATGGGGAAAGGGGGGAGAAATGGGAGGGAAATAGGGGGGAGAAATGGGGGAGAAATTCAGGGAGAAAATGGCAGAAAAAAGGGGAGAAAACGGGGGGAATGGAGGAAAATGGGGAAGAAAATGGGAGAGAAAATGGGAGAAAAAATGGGATAAAATGGGAGAAAACAGGGGAGACAATGGGGGGAATGGAGGAAAATGGGGAAGAAAATGGGGGAGAAAATGGGGGAGAAAATGGGGGAGAAAATGGGGGAGAAAATGGGGGAGAAGCTGTGGCTGCTCCATCCCTGGAAGTGTCCAGGCCAGGCTGGAGCACCCTGGGACACTGGAAGGGATCCCTGGATATTAAAAGCCCCTGCACCCCAAAGCTCCTGGCAGTGCAGGAATTGTGGCACCCCAAAAGGCCCAGGGCACCCTCACCTCTGGCTGTCGCTGGCCAGGAACTGAGCAAACATCCTGACAGCCTGCAGCTCGGGGCTGGGGCTGCCCTGCAGCTCGTCCAGAACCACCCCAAACTTCCTCTGCAACACAGCAGGGCCGGGGAGAGGGGAGACAGGGACAGGGAGGAGAGGGAGGAGGAGGAGAAGGAAGGAAAAGAAGGAAAAGAAGGAAAAGAAAGGAAGGAAAAGCAGGAAAGGGAAGAAAAGAAGGAAAAGAAAGGAAGGAAAAGAAGAAGAATAAGGAGAAGAAGAAGGAGAAGAAGGAGAAGAAGGAGAATCAAGAAAAGCAGGAAGGGAACGAAGAGAAGGGAGAGCAGGAGAAGAAAGGAAAAGAAAGGAAAAGAAAGGAAAAGAAAGGAAAAGAAAGGAAGGAAAAGCAGGAAAGGGAAGAAAAGAAGGAAAAGAAAGAAAGGAAGGAAAAGAAGGAAAAGAAGGAAAAGAAAGGAAGGAAAAGCAGGAAAGGGAAGAAAAGAAGGAAAAGAAAGGAAGGAAAGGAAGGAGAAGAAGGAGAAGAAGGAGAAGAAGGAGAAGAAGGAGAAGAAGGAGAAGAAGGAGAAGAAGGAGAATCAAGAAAAGCAGGAAGGGAATGAAGAGAAGGGAGAGCAGGAGAAGAAAGGAAAAGAAAGGAAGGAAAAGAAGAAGAATAAGGAGAAGAAGAAGGAGAAGAAGGAGAAGGAGGAGAAGGAGGAGAAGGAGGAGAAGGAGGAGAAGGAGGAGAAGGAGGAGAAGGAGGAGAAGGAGGAGAAGGAGGAGAAGGAGGAGAAGGAGGAGAAGGAGGAGAAGGAGGAGAAGGAGGAGAAGGAGGAGAAGGAGGAGAAGGAGGAGAAGGAGGAGAAGGAGGAGAAGGAGGAGAAGGAGGAGAAGGAGGAGAAGGAGGAGAAGGAGGAGAAGGAGGAGAAGGAGGAGAAGGAGGAGAAGGAGGAGAAGGAGGAGAAGGAGGAGAAGGAGGAGAAGGAGGAGAAGGAGGAGAAGGAGGAGAAGGAGGAGAAGGAGGAGAAGGAGGAGAAGGAGGAGAAGGAGGAGAAGGAAGGAAAAGAAGAAAGAGAAGGAGAAAGAGGAAAAGCAGGACAAGAACAAAAATCAAGAAATGCAGGAAGGGAAGGAAGAGAAAGAAAAGAAGGGAGAGGAGGGAAAGCAGGAAAAGAAGGAAAGGAAGGAAGGAAAAGCAGGAAAGGAATGAGGAAGAGAAGGAGGAGAAGGAAGAGAAGAAAAAAATCAGAAAGAGAAGGAAGAGAAGGCAGAGAAGGGAGGGAAGGGAGGGAAGGGAGGGAAGAGAAGGGAGGTTGAGGTTTGAGCAGAACTCTCAAAGATCTGCAGGGACAGGACCAGGGAATGGATTTGGGATGGGAATTCTGGGGCACAGGGAATGGATTTGGGATGGAATTCCAGGGCACAGGGAATGGATTTGGGATGAGGGATGGAGGGACAGGACCCAGAAAATGGATTTGGGAATCCCAGGGCACAGGGAACGGATTTAAACTGGAAAGGGGAATGTGGGTGGGACTTGGGCAGGAATTCCTGGCTGGAATTCCCAGGGCAGCTGTGGCTGCCCCTGGATCCCTGGGCAGGGACTGGGGACAGGGTGACAGGGGACAGGGTGAGGGGTCCCTGGCGGTCAGGGGGGCACAGTGAGGGGTCCCTGGCGGTCAGGGGGGCACATTGAGGGGTCCCTGGTGGGCAGGGGGGCACAGTGAGGGGTCCCTGGCACTCAGGGGGGCACAGTGAGGGGTCCCTGGCGGGCAGGGGGGCACAGTGAGGGGTCCCTGGCACTCAGGGGGGCACAGTGAGGGGTCCCTGGCGGGCAGGGGGGCACAGTGAGGGGTCCCTGGTGGGCAGGGGGGCACAGTGAGGGGTCCCTGGTGGGCAGGGGGGCACAGTGAGGGGTCCCTGGCGGGCAGGGGGGCACAGGCTGGGCCCTGCCCCCTCCCCAGGCTCACCTGGGCGATGTAGGCTCGGAACAGGAACACGTCCCGCTCGGCCTCCTTCTGGGGGCTGCTGGGCTGGGGGGGACAGCGACCCTCAGGGACCCCAAAACAGCCCCACACACCAACAGCCCCATAGAAAAACCCTACAGAAACCAGCCCCATAAAACCCATCCTATAAAATCAACCCCACACCAACCCCTCCTTCTGGGGGAATGCTGGGCTGGGGGGAACAGGGACCCTCAGGGACCCCAAAACAGCCCCACACCAACAACCCCACAGAAAAACCCCACAAAACCCATCCTATAAAATCCACCCCATACCAACCCCTCCTTCTGGTGGGGATGCTGGGCTGGGGGGAACAGCGACCCTAAGGGACCCCCAAAACAGCCCCACAAGACCAGCCCCCCAAAACAGCCCCCCAAAACAGCCCCATAAGACCCATCCTATAAAACCAACCCCACACAAACCCGCCCTACAAAACCCGCCCCAGACAAGCCCGCCCCACACAAACCCTCCCGGGCCCCGGCCAGCGCCGCCCAGCCGTGCCCGACCTTGGCCCGCTGCGCCTCGTTGATGGCGGCCTGGTAGGCGCCGATGTAGAAGTTGTTGCGGAGGTCGAAGAGCTCGTCCGCCTCCCCGGCCGGCGCCGCGCCCGCCATCGCCCTCAGACACGTCCCCGGAAGCGCCCGCGTCGCGGGGCATGCCGGGAGCCGCTGTCTCCATGGAAACCGCCAATAGCAACGCGAGGAGGATGAGACGTCACCAAAGCGACGCGCGGCGCTGCGTGTGGGCGGGGTTAGAGCGAGCCGGCCAATGAGCGCCGCGCGCGGCGGTGACGCCATCGGGGCGCGCCGCGCGGCGCGGAGCGGAGCGCGGCCATGGCGGAGTTCCGGGCGCTCGGGCTGGCGCCGTGGCTGGCGGAGCAGGCGCGGCAGGTGGGGCTGCTCCGGCCCACGCCCGTGCAGGCCGCCTGCATCCCGGCCGTGCTGCAGGGTGAGCGCTCGGGAGGGGAACGCCGCTCCCGGTTCCCGTCCCACCGCCGGGAACGGCCCCTCGTGGTCCCCATCCCTCCTTCGGGCCCGGCCGTTCTCTCTCCCCGCCGTGCTCCTTTCCCCGGTCTCGGTCCAGCCGTTCCCCTCCCGCTTCCCGTTTCCGTTCCCCTTTCCCCCTCGAATGCCCCGTTCTCCGGTCCCATTCCCCGTTCCTCTTTCCTCCTCCCGTTCTCGGTCCCGTTTCCCATTCCCCTTTCCCCCTCCCGTGCCCGGTTCCCCGTTCCCGTTCCTGGTCCCTTTTCCCGGTCCCGGTTCCCTGTGCCTTTTCCCGTTCCCTTTCCCCATTCCCGGTTCCCGTTCCCCGGTCCCGTTCCTCTTTCCCCGTTCCCGGTTCCCCATTCCCCTTTCCCCGTTCTCGGTTTCCCGTTCCCTTTCCCCGTTCCCGTTCCTGGTCTCTTTTCCCGGTCCCATTTCCTATTCCTGTTTCCCGTTCCCGGTTCCCTGTCCCTTTTCCTGTTCCCTTTCCCCATTCCCGGTTCCCATTCCCCATTCCCGTTCCCATTCCCCGTTCTCGGTTCCCTGTTCCCTTTCTCCGGTCCCGGTTTCCCGTTCTCGGTTCCCCATTCTCGGTTCCCTGTTCCCCTTCCCCTTTTTCCGTTCCCCGTTCCCAGTCCCTTTCTCCATTCCCGGTCCCTGTTCCCTGTTCCCCGTTCCCGTTTCCCTTTCCCGTTCCCTGTTCCCCGTTCCCTGTTCCCCGTTCCCTGTTCCCCGTTCCCTGTTCCCCGTTCCCGTTTCCCTTTCCCGGTTCCCGTTTCCCCGTTCCCCGTTCCCGGTTCCCTTTCCCGTTCTCCGTTCCCCGTTCCCTGTTCCCCGTTCCCGTTTCCCTTTCCTGGTTCCCGTTTCCCTTTCCCCGTTCCCGGTTCCCTTTCCCGTTCCCTGTTCCCCGTTCCCGGTTCCCGTTCCCTTTCCCCGTCCCCGTTTCCCTTTCCCCGTTCCCGGTTCCCTTTCCCCGTTTCCCTTTCCCGATTCCCGTTTCCCCGTTCCCCGTTCCCGGTTCCCTTTCCCGTTCCCTGTTCCCCGTTCCCTGTTCCCCGTTCCCGTTTCCCGTTCCCTTTCCCCGTCCCCGTTTCCCTTTCCCCGTTCCCGGTTCCCGTTTCCCTTTCCCTGGTCCCCCGTTCTCAGTTCCCTTTCCCCGTTCCCCGTTCCCGTTTCCCTTTCCCCGTTCCCGTTTCCCTTTCCCCGTTCCCGGTTCCCTTTCCCCGTTTCCCTTTCCCCGTTCCCGTTTCCCTTTCCCCGTTCCCGGTTCCCTTTCCCCGTTCCCGGTTCCCCTTTCCCCGTTCCCGTTTCCCGGTTCCCTTTCCCTTTCCCCGTTCCCCGTTCCTGTTTCCCGGTTCCCGTTCCCGGTTCCCTTTCCCCGGTTCCCCGTTCCCGTTTCCCTTTCCCCGTGGGGGGAAGCTGGGGGGAGCTCTGGGGAGGTGGGGGGAGCTCTGGGGAATTGGGGGGAGCCCTGGGGAGGTGGGAGGAGCTCTGGGGAATTGGGGGGAGCTCTGGGGAATTTGGGGGAGCTCTGGGGAATTGGGGGGAGCCCTGGGGAGGTGGGAGGAGCTCTGGGGAATTTGGGGGAGCCCTGGGGAGCCCAGGGCAGCCGAGCCATCCCCCCTGCAGGGAGCTGGCGTACCAGATCGCCGAGCAGTTCCGGGTGCTGGGCAAACCCCTGGGCCTCAAGGACTGCGTGGTGGTGGGCGGCCTCGGTGAGTCTGGGGGCTTCCCTGCCCCGTTCCCGGTGTGCCCAGCCCCGTTCCCACTGTTCCCAGCCCCATTCCCAGTGTTCCCAGCCCGTTCCCAGTGTTCCCAGCCCCATTCCTATCATTCCCAGCCCCGTTCCCAGCCCGTTCCCATGGTTCCCAGCCCCATTCCCATCATTCCCAGCCCATTCCCATGGTTCCCATGGTTCCCAGCCCCATTCCCATCATTCCCAGCTCGTTCCCATGGTTCCCAGCCCCATTCCCAGCCCATTCCCATCATTCCCAGCCCACTCCCATGGTTCCCATGGTTCCCATCCCCGTTCCCAGCCCCATCCCCATCCCCGTTCCCATCATCCCCATCCCCGTTCCCACGGTTCCCAGCCCGTTCCCCGTGTGTCCCCAGACATGGTGGCGCAGGCCCTGGAGCTGTCCCGCCGGCCCCACGTGGTGGTGGCCACGCCCGGGCGCCTGGCCGACCACCTGCGCAGCAACGGCAGCACCGCCAGCCTGCGCAGGGTCAGGTTCCTGGTGAGCACCCCCGGGGGTCCGGGGGGGTCCCGGGGGTACTGAGGGGGTCCCTGGGGTACTGGGGGGTCCCTGGGGATCCTGAGGGGGTCTCTGCATCCCTGGGGGTACTGAGGGGATCCCTGGGATACTGAGGGGTTTCCTCCATCCCTGGGGATCCTGAGGGGTTCCTTCCAGCCCTGGGAGCATTCCAGGGGATCCTGAGGGGTTCCCTGGGGATACTGAGTGGTCCCTTCCATCCCTGGGGGTACTGAGGGGGTCCCTGGGATCCTGAGGGGTTCCCTGCATCCCTGGGGATCCTGAGGAATCCCTTCCATCCCTGGGGATAATAAGGGGTTCCCTGGGGATCCTGAGGGGTCCCTTCCATCCCTGGGGGTACTGAGGGGGTCCCTGGGATCCTGAGGGGTTCCCTGCATCCCTGGGGGTACTGAGGGGTTCTCTGGGGATCCTGAGGGGGTCCCTGCACCCCTGGGGATACTGAGGGGTTCCCTGGGGATCCTGAGGGGTCCCTTCCATCCCTGGGGGTACTGAGGGGTTCCTTCTAGCCCTGGGCATCCTGAGGGGTTCCCTGGGTGGATTTCTGGGAGTCCTGAGGGGTTCCCTGCATCCCTGGGGATCCTGAGGGGTTCCTTCCAGCCCTGGGAGCATTCCTGGGGATCCTGAGGGGTTCCCTGGGATCCTGAGGGGTTCCCTGGGATCCTGAGGGGTTCCCTGCGCGCATTCCCTGGAATGTGGAGGTTCCCTGGTGGGTTCCGTGGTGCATTTCCCAGTGGATTCCCTGGAACCCTGTGGCTTCCCTGGGCACATTTCCTGGAATCTGGGGGTTCTCTGGTGGGTTCTCTGGTGCATTTCATGGTGGATTCCCTGGAACCTTGTGGGTTCCCTGAGCACATTCCCTGGAGTCTGGGGGTTCCCTGGTGGGTTCCCTGGTGGATTCCCTGGTGGATTCCCCGGAATCCTGTGGCTTCCCTGGGCACATTCCCTGGAATCTGGGGTTCCCTGGTGGCTTCCCTGGGCACATTCCCTGGTGGATTCCCTGGGCTCCCTGTGTGGAGGAGGCTGGAATGTGGAGGTTCCCTGGGCACATTCCCTGGAATCTGGGGGTTCCCTGGTGCATTTCCTGGTGGATTCCCTGAAATCCTGTGGCTTCCCTGGGCACATTCCCTGGAATCTGGGGGTTCCCAGCCTGTGCTGTGCCCAGGTGCTGGACGAGGCTGACCGCCTGCTGGAGCAGGGCACCGCCGACTTCAGCGCCGACCTGGAGCTGATCCTGGGCGCGGTGCCCGCGCGCCGCCAGACCCTGCTCTTCAGTGCCACCCTCACGGCCACCCTGAGCCAGCTGCGGGCCCTGGCTGCCAACAGCCCCTTCTTCTGGGAGGCCACGTCCCCGTGAGTGCCCAGGATTCCCGCTTTTCCCCGGGCTTTGTCTCCTTTGCCTGCTTTGTTTTTCCTGTGCCGGCGCTGCCGGGCCTTCGGGGTGTCAGGAGAAGGAGGTGGAGGGGTCCTGGGAAGGGCTGGGAATTCCTGAGGGAGCTGGGAAAGGGCTGGAGAATTCCTGAGGGAGATGAGAAAGGGACTGGAGAATTTTTGAGGGAGATGAGAAAGGGGCAGGAGAACTCTTGAGGGGGCTGGGAAAGGGCTGGAGGGAGATGAGAAAGGGATTGGAGAACTCTTGAGAGAGCTGGGAATTCCTGAGGGAGCTGGGAAAGAGTTTGAGAATTCCTGAGGGGGCTGGAGAATTCCTGAGGGGGCTGAGAAGGGGCTGGAGAATTCTTGAGAGAGTTGGGAATTCCTGAGGGAGCTGGGAAGGGGCCCAGCCTGGAGAAAAGCAGGATCAGGGGGACATTCCCAATCCCCACAAGTCCCCAGCAGGAGGGGACAGCCAGGACAGGAGGGGACAGCCCCAGGGAGCTCCAGGTGGGACAGCAGCAGGAATTTCCTCCTGGAAAGGGCAGCCAGGCCTTGGAAGGAGGAGTCCAGGGCAGGGCTGGACGTGGTCCCAGCTTGGGCTGGGTGATCCTGGAGGGCTTTTCCAGCCTCAGGGATCCTGGGATTGCCGTTTTCCCTGTTCCCTGCAGCGTGAGGACGGTGGAGCAGCTGGAGCAGAGGTACCTGCTGGTGCCCGAGGCGCTCAAGGACGCCTACCTGGTGCACCTGGTGCAGAGCTTCCAGGACCAGCACGAGGACTGGGCCATCATCATCTTCACCAAGACCTGCAAGTGAGAGGCCTCCTCCCTGCCTTCCTCCTCCTCCCTGCCTTCCTACTCCTCCCTGCCTTCCTCCTCCCTGACACACTTTTCCCACCCCAGCACTGTCCCAGGCCATGCTGGAGCACCCTGGGATAGTGGGAAGTGTCATAAATGAGAGGAAAAATTAGGATTTTGGGAATTAAGAACAGAAATGGGAGGTGTCCATGAGACTGTCCCTGCCTGTCCTATCCCAGGAATTGTCCCAGGCCATGCTGGAGCACGCTGGGATAGTGGGAGGTGTCTTAAAGGAGAGGAAAAATGAGGATTTTGGGACTTAAACACAAAAATGGGAGATGTCTCTGCCTGTCCTATCCCAGGAATTGTCCCAGGCCATGCTGGAGCACGCTGGGATAGTGGGAGGTGTCTTAAAGGAGAGGAAAAATGAGGATTTTGGGACTTAAACACAAAAATGGGAGATGTCTCTGCCTGTCCTATCCCAGGAATTGTCCCAGGCCATGCTGGAGCACGCTGGGATAGTGGGAAGTGTCATAAATGAGAGGGAAAATGAGGGTTTTGGGAATTACACACAGAAATGGGAGGTGTCCCTGGAACTGTCCCAGTTTCCCCACCCCAGCACTGTCCCAGGCCATGCTGGAGCACCCTGGGATAGTGGGAAGTGTCATAAAGGAGGAGAAAAATGAGGATTTTGGGAATTAAGGACAGAAATGGGAGATGTCTGTGCCTGTCCTATCCCAGGAATTGTCCCAGGCCATGCTGGAGCACGCTGGGATAGTGGGAAGTGTCATAAATGAGAGGGAAAATGAGGGTTTTGGGAATTACACACAGAAATGGGAGGTGTCCCTGGAACTGTCCCAGTTTCCCCACCCCAGCACTGTCCCAGGCCATGCTGGAGCACCCTGGGATACTGGGAAGTGTCATAAATGAGAGGAAAAATGAGGATTTTGGGAATTAAGAACAGAAATGGAAGGTGTCCATGAGACTGTCCCTGCCTGTCCTACTCCTGGAATTGTCCCAGGCCATGCTGGAGCACGCTGGGATAGTGGGAGGTGTCTTAAAGGAGAGGAAAAATGAGGATTTTGGGACTTAAACACAAAAATGGGAGATGTCTCTGCCTGTCCTACTCCCAGGAATTGTCCCAGGCCATGCTGGAGTACCCTGGGATAGTGGGAAGTGTCATAAATGAGAGGAAAAATGAGGATTTTGAGACTTAAAGACAAAAATGGGAGATGTCTCTGCCTGTCCTACTCCTGGAATTGTCCCAGGCCATGCTGGAGCACCCTGGGATGGTGGGAGGTGTCATAAAATAAGGGAAAATGAGGATTTGGGAATTACACACAGAAATGGGAGGTGTCCCTGGAGCTGTCCCAGGCCATGGTGGCACAGTCCCTGCCTGTCCCAGCTCTGACCTGACCCATTCCCTCAGTGCATCCTGAGGATTTTCCTGATTTTTTTTCCCTCCCTTCCAGGGACTGCCAGGTGCTGAACATGATGCTGAGGAGGTTCAGCTTCCCTTCTGTGGCTCTGCACTCCATGATGAAGCAGGTGAGGGCTGCAGGGGCCTGCCAGGGGCTGCTCCCAGCTGCATCCCACAGCCCTCACCTGGCACTTTCTCCTCCCAGAAACAGAGATTTGCAGCTTTGGCCAAGTTCAAGTCCAGCATCTTCAAGATCCTCATTGCCACAGATGTGGCTGCCAGGTAAAACCAAAGCTCTCCCACCTGGATTGTTCACCAGAACCAGTTTGGGCTGAGTTTAGCAAGAGCAGAGCCTCAAATCCCTCAGGTTTGGGTGGGACAGGCTCTGCCCAACCTGTCTGAGCTGGGCTTTGGAGCCTGGGGGTGCTGAGGCTCTGCCCAGGGGGGGCTGGGGGGTCCTGAGGGGTTCCTGGGGCTGCCAGGGAGCAGCTCCAAGGGGACAGGGAATTGCTGAGCCCTGAGGAGCTGGGAATTGCTAAACTCTGAGGAGCTGGGAATTGCTGAGCCCTGAGGAGTTTGGGAATTGCTGAGCCCTGAGGAGTTTGGGAATTGCTGAGCCCTGAGAAGTTTGGGAATTGCTGAGCCCTGAGGAGTTGGGAATTGCTGAGCCCTGAGAAGTTTGGGAATTGCTGAGCCCTGAGGAGCTGGGAATTGCTGAGCCCTGAGGAGTTGGGAATTGCTGAGCCCTGAGGAGTTGGGAATTGCTGAGCCCTGAGGAGTTTGGGAATTGCTGAGCCCTGAGGAGTTGGGAATTGCTAAACTCTGAGGAAGAAGTTGGGGAATTGTTGAGCTCTCTGAAGAAGGAATTAGGGAATTGCTGAACTCTGTGAGGAAGAAGTTGGGGAGTTGTTATGAGGAAGGAATTTGTCCTCCAATCAGCCAATAAAGGCTTTATCCATGGGAATCTGAGCTTTTGGAGACAGCAGGGATTAAACACTGGAATTAAGCAGGAATTAAACACTTCCCTGGCACAGAGGAAGTGTCCCCCCAAGGCAAGGCCAGCACTAAATGTTGTTTAAGCTCCCTCCCACCCCAAACCACTGTGACGTTTTACAATTCCCTGACATTTAACCTGTTTTCCCCCTGAATTCCAGAGGTTTGGACATCCCTGCAGTCCAGGTTGTCATCAACCACAACACCCCGGGGCTGCCCAAGATCTACATCCACCGCGTGGGACGGACGGCGCGCGCGGGTGACAGCCCCGGGGGGGGTGACAGCCCCGGGGGGGGGTGACAGCTCTCAGGGAGGGCCTCAGCATCATGTTCAGCACCTGGCAGTCCCTGGAAGGGAGGGAAAAAAATCAGGAAAATCCTCAGGATGCACTGAGGGAATGGGTCAGGTCAGAGCTGGGACAGGCAGGGACTGTGCCACCATGGCCTGGGACAGGGACAGGGACACCTCCCATTTCTGTGTGTAATTCCCAAATCCTCATTTTCCCTTATTTTGTGACACCTCCCACCATCCCAGAGTGCTCAGCATGGCCTGGGACAGTGCCAGGGGTGGGAAAAGTGGGACAATGACAGGGACACCTCCCATTTCTGTGTGTAATTCCCAAAAGCTTCATTGTCCCCCTCCTTTAAGACACCACTGGGGTCACTGGGATCCTGCCCTGGATGCCTGAGGGTGGATCACACTGCCCTGCTGGGATAATTAATGGGATTTTCAGAGCCAGCAGAGCTCTCTGAGCAGCCAGCCTGGCTCCTGGGGAAGGAGGGGTTGGGAGTGCCTTGGGTCCATCCCTCTGTGCCTGCCAGGATTGCTCAGTCCCTGGCTTTTCCCCGTTTCAGGGCGGAATGGCCTGGCCATCACCCTGGTGACACAGTACGACATCCACCTGGTGCACGCCATCGAGGAGGAGATCAGTGAGTGGGGCTGGGCTCCTTCCCTTCTTCCCTTCCCTTCCCTTCCCTCCCCTTCCCTTCCCTTCCCTTCCCTTCCCTTCCCTTCCCCGGGGTGCAAGGATCCAAACTCAAACACAGCACGCAGCAGCCCCGCTGACAGCCCAGGCATTTACTGGGGTTTTCCCTGAGGATTTGGGTTTGTGACCCTCTGTGTGTCACCCTGCCCCAGAGCTGCAGCTGAAGGAGGGTTTGGATTTGGATTTGGGTTTGGATTTTGGATTTGTGACCCTCTGTGTGTCACCCTGCCCCAGAGCTGCAGCTGAAGAAGGGTTTGGATTTGGGTTTGGATTTGAGTTTGGATTTTGGATTTGTGACCCTCTGTGTGCCACCCTGCCCCACAGCTGCAGCTGAAGGAGAATTTGGGTTGGGATTTGGGTTTGGATTTTGGATTTGGGTTTGGGTTTGGGTTTGGATTTGGATTTTGGATTTGTGACCTCTGTATGTCACCCTGCCCCAGAGCTGCAGCTGAAGGAGGGTTTGGGTTTGGATTTGGGTTTGGATTTGGGTTTGGGTTTGGAATTTGGATTTGGGTTTGGATTTGTGACCTCTGTGTCTCACCCTGTCCTAAAGCTGCAGCTGAAGGAGGGTTTGGGTTTGGATTTGAATTTGGGTTTGGATTTGAATTTGAATTTGGGTTTGGAATTTGGATTTGGGTTTGGGTTTGGGTTTGGGTTTGGATTTGTGACCTCTGTGTCTCACCCTGCCCCAGAGCTGCAGCTGAAGGAGAATTTGGATTTGGGTTTGGGTTTGGATTTGGGTTTGGGTTTGGATTTGTGACCCCTGTGTCTCACCCTGCCCCAGAGCTGCAGCTGAAGGAGTTCTCCGTGGAGGAGCAGCTGGTGCTGGACATCCTGACCCAAGTGAACGTCACCAGGAGGGAGTGTGAGATCGTGAGTGTGCCTGGGGGAGCCTTGCTTGGGCTCTCTCCCCGGGGTTTTCTGGGGTTTTTCCCAGTTTTTCAGGAATTTTGCTGCTCAGGGTTGAGGTTTGAGGCTCTGCTGCTCTTCCCTTTGGCAGGAGCTGGAGGGGATGGATTTTGATGAGAAGAAGGAAATCAATAAGAGGAAACAGATGATCCTGGAAGGGAAGGTGAGAGCTGCTGCCTTCTGAACTGCTCTGAGCTGATAAATGTGGGGAAGGGAAAGGGAAGGACAGTCAGTCCTTCCTTTCCCTTCCTTTCCCTTCCTTTCCCTTCCCTTCCTTTCCCTTTCCCTTCCTTTCCCTTCCCTTTTTTTCTCTTTCTTTTTTCCCTCCTGAACTCACTCCCCTTCTGGGTGTGAAGGTTTATTTAAAATAATCCTAAGGAGATGGTTTATTTGAAATAATCCTAAAAGAAATATTAAATCTTGTTATATTACAAGCTTAAACATAATAGTGTTAAGAATATGAACTATTATGCTGTTAAAAGTATGAAATATTATTGCATATATTAAATGTTATGAGATGAAATATTAGGATGTTAAAAATGCTCTGGAGGAAACGGAGAAGGGGCTGAATTTTGGGGCCTCCTCAGTTGTGGGAAAGGGCAAGGGGGTGTCCTGGGTGTGTCCCCATCCTGTCCCCAACATCCTGGGCCTGTCCCCAGTGTCCTGTCCCAAGTGTCCGTGGCCTGTCCCCAGTCTCCTGTCCCCAGTCTCCTGTCCCCGGTGTCCTGGGTGTGTCCCCAGTGTCCCATCCCCAGTGTCCCAGTCCTGTCCCCAGTGTCCTGGGTGTGTCCCCAGTGTCCTGTCCCCATGTCCCGTGCCCCGTGTCCCCAGTGTCCCTGTCCCTGTCCCCGCAGGACCCCGAGCTGGAGGCGCGCCGCAGGGCGGAGCTGGCCCGGATCCGGGGCAGGAACAGGGAGTGTCGGGAGAAGCTGCAGCAGGGCCTGCAGAGGAGGAGGCAGCTGCAGCTGAGGAGGAAACTGCACAAGAGGATGGAGAGGAGGAAGAGGAAGATGGAGAAGGAGAAGGAGGAGGAGGAGCAGTGACGTGGCTGGGCCTGGCCTGGACTGCCCTGGAATTGCTGCTGCTTTGGGAAAATTGGGATTGAACACTTGGATGTGTGGGAAAAAAAACCAAAACAAACCGGTGCTGGGGAGAAGGGAAGAATCCCAGAACCCTGGGGTGGCATTGGAAGGAGCTCAGGGCTCATCCAGTCCCACCCAGGCTGCTCCAGCCCAGCCAGGAATTCCTGCACAAATCCCACCCAGATTCCCCTTGCCCAGTTTAAATCCTCTCCTCCCACCCTCCCAGGGAAGAGTTTTGCCCCCATTCCTGGCAGGCTGGGTCCTGGAGGATTCAGAATTCCTTTCCAGAGGATTTTTCTTTCCTGGAGCAGAGGCCTGGATTCCTGCTGGGGCTAATCCTGCTGGGATAAATCCTGGGGCAATTCCTGCTGGGGCAGCTCCTGCTGGGACAATTCCTGGAGCAGATTCCTGCCCCTGGATTCCTGCTGGGACAATCCCTGCTGGGATAAATCCTGGGACAAATCCTGCTGGGATAAATCCTGGGACAATTCCTACTGGGATAAATCCTGGGACAATCCCTGCTAGACACCGGAGTCTTTCAGAGAAAATGAATTTATTGCTCCTTTATCAGAAAAAATCAACTCAGCCCTGGAAATTCGGGATTCAGAGGATTTGACCCGGAGCAGAATCCTGGGCTGGGCTGGGATTTGTGCCCCCCGTGTGAGTGCAACAGGCTGCTGCTGCCGAGGGTTCATCCTCTGCTAACCCCTGCCCCCCAAAATCACCCTCTGCCCTCCAAAATCCGCCTTTGTCACCCAAAATCCCCCTGTGTCACCCCAAAACCATCCCCGCGCCACCCAAATCCCCGCGTCACCCCCAAAATCCACCTGTGCCACCCAAAAATCTTCCTTTTCCACCCAAAATCCCCCTCTGCCACCCAAAATCCCCTTTTGCACACAAAATCCCCTTTTGCCATCCCAAAATCCTCCTTTGCCACCCCAAAATCCCCCCTGTGCCACCCAAAATCCGCCTTTTGCACCCAAAATCCCCCTTTTACACCCAAAATCCCCCTCTGCCCCCCAAAATCCTCCTTTGCCACCCAAAATCCCCCTTTGTCACCCAAAATCCTCCTTTGCCACCCCAAAATCCCCCCTGTGCCACCCAAAATCCGCCTTTTGCACCCAAAATCCCCCTTTTACACCCAAAATCCCCCTCTGCCCCCCAAAATCCTCCTTTGCCACCCCAAAATCCCCCTTTGCTACCCCAAAGTCCCCCTTTTGCACCCAAAATCCTCCTTTTCTGTCCCATTTCCTCCTCAATCCCCCAAAATCCCCCGAATTTCATCCCAAATCTCACCCCAAAACCCCCAAATCTCACCCCAAATCCCCTTTTTGTGTGTCCTTTTTCAGGTTATTTCACCCACAGAGAGGCACCCAGGCTCTCTGTAACTCTTTGTTTTTATTGTCTCCTGTTGTCCTAATCCTAACTGCCCAAATCTTTATTCCTCTAATTACATTACTAATTTCATTCTATTATTACTTTTAATATTAATAAATTTAATAACCATTTGATTACTTTTAAACTTTCAGAAACGAGGGATTGTTGTTTTTCACACTGGGGGTGTTTGGGGGATGCACAAACTGTGCTGCCCAGTGTAACCAGAGCATTTCTGCACTAAAAATAACCTGAGCAAGGCAGCAGCTGATCCCTGCAGGGTCAGCTCAGCCCTCTCTTCATTAATGGCATTATTATTTAATGACAAGAATTAATTACGATTAAATTGTCATTTAATACAATTAAATTTCTAGAAAACAAATTTAAAAGGAATAAATTTAAGAAAAGAAAATTTAAAGTAAATTTAAATTTAAATTAATTAATATTAAATTGGAATTTAATACCATTAAATAGAATTAAATTGACATTTAATACCATTAAATACAATGAAATTGTCATTTAGTGCTGAGCCTCATCCTGGGTAACTCCCAAACAAAAAGTCCTCGTGGCTTTGCCTCCATCAGGAATTATTCTGATAGAGATCACCCAGGTTTTTTCCCCGGATTTTTTCTCTTTTTTTTTTCCCCTTTTTTTCCCCCCTTTTTCCCCCCTTTTTCCCCCTTTTTTTCCCCCTTTTTATTCCTTTTTTCCTCTTTCTCTTGGCTCTGCAGCACCTCTGAGAGGGTGGAACTCAAAGTCCAGGGAGGGCAATTCTGCCCTGGAGGAGGAGGAGGAGGAGTGTGAAAAACGCCAATCGTTTCTAAAATTTTAAAAATTTAACAGTAATAAAATGGTCATAAAAATAGCAATATAATTAGAGAAATAAAGACTTGAACAGTTGGGATCAGGACAATACGAGACAATAAAAAAAAGAGTTTTGGACAGGCTGGGTTCCTCTTTGTGGGCAAAATAAACCCAAAAAAGGAGCCACGTTAACAGAGGATTAACCCTTAAAAGCCACAGCCTGTTGCATATTCATCCAGCTCATCCATGCTGCATAAATTCCATTAAAACACAGAATTCTGCTCAGTGTCAGCTTCTTCCTCTGAATCCTGAACTTTCAGAGCTGAAGAAGTTGTTTTCCTCTGATAAAGGAGCAATAAATTCTTTTTCTCTGAAGGATTTGGGTGTCCTGGGGCTGCTGTCTCAGTGCCTCGTTCCTCTCTTTAAAGAAATATCCCACACACAGAGTTCCTATTTTAACTACAAAACTCACATTTTAACTACAAAACTGCATTTACCACACAATTTAAAATGTGAATACAGCGCTGCCATTCCCATTAAAATCCCATTCCCAGCAAAATCCCATTCCCACCAAATTTCCATTCCCACCAAAATCCCATTTCCATTCCCACCCAAATCCCATTTCCTTGGCTGGGCAGCAGGGCCCAGTTTTGGGGCTGTTTTCCCCTTTTTCTGCTCAGCTCAGCCTTCTGTGCTCGGGGGGAATCTCCAAAACATTTTCCTTGCTCATCCCACTCTCCTGTGGGATTGATTTTCCCGTTATTAACGCTCTGGCTGGGCTGTGAATAATTAAAATCCTCGTTTTAAATCTTCGTGAGGCCTCTCCTGTCTCAGCCAGGAGGAGGCTGGGATGGAGCTGCCAGGCACAAAAAGGGAATAATGATGCTTTGGGAATTTTCCTGCTTTGGGAATAATCCTGGGATTTTGAGAAAAGTACTGGGACTTTGGGACTAATCCTGCTTTTGGAAATAATCCTGGGATTTTGGGAAAAAATTCTGGGACTTTGGGAATAATCCTGGGATTTTGGGAAAAATTCTGGGATTTTGGGAATAATCCTGGTATTTTGGGAAAAAATTCTGGGACTTTGGGAATAATCCTGGGATTTTGGGAATTCTTGTGCTTTTGGGAATAATCCTGGGATTTTGGGAACGATCCTGGGATTTTGGGAACGATCCTGCTTTGGGAATGATCCTGGGGACTTTGGGAATGATCCTGTTTTAGGAATAATCTTGGGACCTTGGGGAATAATCCTGGGACGTTGGGAACGATCCTGCTTTGGGAATAATCCTGCTTTTGGGAACAATTCTGCTTTTGGGACGACCTTTGCACACGTAAAGGATTTCCCCGGAGCTCAGGCTCCAGCCCCGGCGTTCTCCTGGATTTCCAAGATGGTTCCTGCACGGAAGAGCCCCAGGAGCAGCGTTCCCTTGTTCATCCAGAAAAACCAGAGCAGGTTTTGGGGCTTCCCTCCGTGTCTTTGGGACGGGCTCAGGCTGAGCAATCCCAAAATCCACCTCTGATTCGTGCGCTGTGAATAATTCAAATCCTCACTTGCGAGGCCTCGCCAGGCCCCGGCGCGTCCCTCGGCCAGGAGGGGCTGGCACGGAGCTGCTGCCGGGCACAAAAAAGCACAAAACGCACAAAACGCTGCTGCCAGACACAAAAATGAAGCTTTGTCACCTTCGCAACGCAAGATTTTCCCTTTTGGAAGCACAAAAATAAAGAATTCATCGGGGCGAGGCCTGCACAGGGCCCAGCGGGGAGGTGTGATGCCGCTGCTGTGAAAAACAACCAAAAAAGAAATAAAATCCTCTGGAAACGGCTGGAATTGGGAACAAAACCCTCTGGAATTGGGGCTCTGGAACAGCCAGGGAAGTTTTCTCCTGGCTGGGGGCAGGTTTGAGGGAAGTGCTGGTGATAAATGGGATTTCATGAGCGAGGAAGGAGGGAAGGGCCTCCCGGAGCCTCCATCACAGCCTGGGCAAAGCTTTTTTTATTCCCAAATGCCAAGCACGGGGCTGAGCTGATCCAAAAGGATTTCCAGAAGATTCTGGCAAGCACAAGAGTGGCTCCAGGCCGGGGAGGGGACACTGGGAATGGCCTCGGGGACAGCCCCAAACCCCACTGTGAAAATGGATTTGTGTGGTTTTAGTGGAGGTTGGCGGTGGAATCAGCAAATGTTTGGATCTGCTGTGTGAAAATAAGACACGAAGAAAGGTTTGGAGACTTTACGATGGAAAATGGACACGAAGAAAGGTTTGGAGACTTTCTGATGGAAAATGGACACGAAGAAAGGTTTGGAGACTTTCTGATAGAAAATGGACACGAAGAAAGGTTTGGAGACTTTCTGATGGAAAATGGACACGAAGAAAGATTCGGAGACCTTCTGACCACGTAGCCAAACAGAGCATCAAAATAAAAGCAGGAAACTCTGAAACTTCTGGGGTAACTCCCAAATTTCTGGGATTAATCTTGAATTTCTGGGGTAACTCCCAATTTTCTGGGATAACTCCCAAATTTCTGGGATTAATCCTGAATTTCTGGGGTAACTGTGAAATTTCTGGGGTAACTCCCAAACTTCTGGGATTAATGACAAATTTCTGTGGTAACTCCCAAATTTCTGGGATTAATCCTGAATTTCTGGGGTAACTGTGAAATTTCTGGGGTAACTCCCAAACTTCTGGGATTAATGACAAATTTCTGTGGTAACTCCCAAATTTCTGGGATTAATCACAAATTTCGGGGGTAACTCCCAAATTTCTGGGATTAATCACAAATTTCGGGGGTAACTCCCAAATTTCTGTGGTAACTCCCACTTCAAAACTTCTGGGGTACTCTTCTGAGTAAACTTCTGAGATTAATCCCAAATTTCTGTGGTAACTCCTGAATTTCTGGGATACCTCCCAGGTTTCTGGGGTACTCCCAAACTTTTGGGATAACTCCCAAATTTCTGGGATCAATCCCGACTTTCCGGGTGACCCCACGCTCCCCCAGCCCCTCCGGATCCCAGCGTGTCCCCAGCTCCTCCCGCTGTCCTTGAGCCCAGCTGGGACCTGTCCCTGTCACACACAGCAGGACATCCCTGGGGGCTTCTTCCCAACACAAAAGGGACAAAAAGAAAGCACAAAAAGCCAGCTGCGATTTGCTCCATTTAATTTCAATTAACCTCAGCCCCCCGGGGCTGCAGCGATGCCAACCCAGCAGCTTGGTGGCCCTGAGGGATGTCCCTTGTCCCAAATTCCCCGTGCCCGGCCCCAAAATTCCCAGCAGTCCTTCAATCCTCTGCGTTCAGCTCATCCAGGCTGTGAAAGTGCAGAATTTCCCTCTGGGGCCAGGGAAAATTTTCCAGAATTTTCCTCCGTCTCTGCTCCCCTGGGATGCTCCAGGGGCTGGGAACACCCAGCATGGAGGAAGAGGAAGAGGAGGAACTCCTGGCAGTGCCCAGCTCCTCCTGCCTCCCCAGCCAGGGGGGGCAGGCAGCTGATCTGCAAAAGGCAAGTGGTTTCCTAAAAAAACTACAGAAAAAAAAAAAAAAATCAACCCCCCCACCCAAGGCTCAGCCCTTGCCCTTAGAAAATGTAAAAACCTCGGGGACACGGTGGCAGCAGGGTGGTGGCACGGGCACAGCTGGCACCTCTGGGCCAGGGCAGGGCCAGAGAGCTCTGCTGGGGCTGCAGGGGCTCCCCAGAGAGGATTTGGGGGTGCAGGGGCTCCCCAGAGAGGATTTGGGGGTGCAGGGGCTCCCCAGAGAGGATTTGGGGGTGCAGGGGCTCCCTGGAGAAGGTTCGGGTGCTCCCTGGAGAGATTTGGGAGCTCAGGTTCTCCCTGGAGAGGTTTGGGGGCTCCTTGGAGAAGGTTTGGGGATTCAGGTCCTCCCTGGAGAGATTTGGGAGCTCAGGTTCTCCCTGGAGATGTCTGGGGGCTCCCTGGAGAGGTTTGGGGGCTCCCTGGAGAGGTTTGGGGGTTCCTTGGAGAAGGTTTGGGGGTTCAGGTGCTCCCTGGAGAGGTTTGGGTGTGCAGGGGCTTCCTGGAGAGGATTCAGGTGCTCCTTGGAGAAAATTTGGGAGCTCAGGTGCTCCCTGGAGAGGATTTAGGGGCTCAGGATCTCCCTGGAGAAGGTTCAGGGGCTCCCTGAAGAGGTTTGGGGGTTCAGGTGCTCCCTGGAGAGATTTAGGGGCTCAGGTTTTCCCTGGAGGGGTTTGGGGGCTCCCTGGAGAAGGTTCAGGCTCTCCCTGGAGAGGTTTGGGGGTTCAGGCTCTCCCTGGAGAGGATCTGGGGCTCGGGGGCTCTGTGCCCTGCTCTGGGGCTCGCTGGGCAGTGAGTGACCAGTCTGGTGCCCGCTCTGTCCAGGCAGCTGCTGGTGGGTGGCAAATCCTGCCCGGGCAGCACCGAGGCTGCTGGGTGCCCTCGGGAGCTCTGGGTGCCCAAAGGAGCTCTCTTGGTGCCCTCAGGAGTTCTCTTGGTGCCCACAAGAATTCCCAGTAAACACAGAAGGTCTTGGTGCCCACAGGAGCTCATGGTGGTGCCCACAGGAGCTCTCAGTGCCCACAGGATCTTTGGGTTCCTACAGGATCTCATGGTGCCCTCGGGATCTCTCGGTGCCCTCAAGATCTCTTGGTGGTGCTCTCAGGATCTCTCAGTGCCCTCGGGATCTCTCAGTGCCCACAGGATCTCATGGTGCCCACAGGATCTCTCGGTGCCCTCGGGATCTCTCAGTGCCCTCGGGAGCTCTCGGTGCCCACAGGATCTCTTGGTGCCCACAGGATCTCTCAGTGCCCTCAGGATCTCTCAGTGCCCACAGGATCTCATGGTGGTGCCCACAGGATCTCATGGTGCCCGCCCCAGCTGCGGCTGCCCCTCTCCAGGGGCTCTCTGCTGCTCAGTTGCTCTCCACCAGCTTGGCCAGGCCCTGCCTGAGCTCGCTGAGCTCGAAGATCTTCACGTCCATGATCTCGGCCACCTTGGTGACCTCGTGGTGCATCCTGTCCCTCTCTGCCAGGCTCTCTGCCAGGCTCTGCTCTGCCAGCTGCAGCCGCTGCTCCAGCTCGGCGTTCCGAGCCTCCAGCTCCTGCAGGGACAGCCACACTGCTGCTCAGAGCCTCGGAGAGCCCCAGGTGCCACCCGGGGCCACCCCGAGTCCCCAGGGCTCCCTCCTGAGCGCTGTCCCCAGCCCTGCCCGCGGGGTGAGGGGGTGGGAGGGCAGCTGTGCCCACACGGGCCCTGCCAGCCTGGTGGGGTTGGCTCTGGATCCTCCCCATGCCAGTGGGATTGGCCCTGGATCCTCTCCAGGCTGGTGGGATTGGCCCTGGATTCTCCCCATACCAGTGGGATTGGCTCTGGATCCTCCCCATCCCAGTGGGATTGGCTCTGGATCCTCCCAGCCTGGTGGGATTGGCGCTGGATCCTCCCCATCCCGGTGGGGTTGGCTCTGGATCTTAATGAGGGGGTTAATGAGGGGGTTAACGAGGGGTGTCCCCCAGGTGCCACCCTTACCTGCAGCTTCTGCAGCGTCTCCTCGCGCTCCCCCTCGGCCTCCCAGCGGCACCTCTGGCTCTTCAGCATCTGGATCTCCTGGGTGAAAAACATGTATTTATGGCATTTTTTAATTTGGCTTTCAAGGGAAATACAGGTTGGATATTGGGAAGAAGTGTTTTACAGGAAGGGCTGATGAAGTTCTGGAATGTTCTGCCCGGGGAGCGGGTGCAGTCACCATCCCTGGGGGTGTTTAACAAAGCCTGGATGTGGCACTGGTTCAGCTGAGGGGCTGGGGCTGGCTGGATTTGATGATCTTTGAGGTCTCTTCCAACCCAGTGATTCTGAGAATTCTGTGATTCTGTGATTTCTGGGAATTCTGAGCTGCCAGGATCCTGAGCCTCTCCACCCCAGCACATCCCTGTCCCTCACTTTGCTCCCTGGGAGGGGACAGAGGGGGAACAGCTGGAAGAGCTCTGACAGCTGGGGGTCTGACAGGTTTTGGGGGGTCTGACAGGTTTTGGGGGGTCTGACAGGTTTTTTGGGAGGTCTGACAGGTTTTTTGGGGGATCTGACAGGATTTTTGGGGCTCTTACAAGTATTTTGGGAGGTCTGACAGGTTTTTTGGGGGGTCTGACAGGATTTTTTTGGGGGATCTGACAGGTTTTTTGGGATATCTGACAGGTTTTTTGGGATGTCTGACAGGTTTTTTGGGAGGTCTGACAGGTTTTTTGGGGGATCTGACAGGTTTTTTGGGGGGTCTGACAGGTTTTTTGGGAGGTCTGACAGATTTTTGGGGGGTCTGGCAGGTTTTTTGGGAGGTCTGACAGGATTTTTGGGGCTCTGACAGGTTTTTTGGGGGGATCTGACAGGGTTTTTGGGGCTCTGACAGGTTTTTTTGGGGGATCTGAGAGGTTTTTTGGGGCTCTGGCAGGTTTTTTGGGGGGATCTGACAGGTTTTTTGGGGGGTCAGACAGCCTCACCTCATCTTTAGCCTTGACCAGCAGCTCCAGCTCCTCCAGGGTCTGGCTCAGCTCCTCCTTGTTGTTCTCGCTGGAGGAATCGTGGGTCCCCTGTGCCTCCAGCTCTGCCACCTGCAAGGGGAGGCAGAATTCCCTCAGGAATTCCCTCAGCACCCACTGCCGTGCTCTGCTTCCCTGCAAACCCACCTGCCTTCCCCTCTTCTTGGGGCTGGCAGCAAAACAATTCCTTCTGCTCTGCCTGCAGGAACATTTTTGGGGCTCAAAGCCCCGCTTTAGGGAGTGTGCTTTGTGCAGGAGTTCTGCACTCCAGCCAGCTGAGCTGGCTGACACCCAGCCCTGAAGATCCAGCTCCATTCATGCCCAGGACACTCCTCTGGCTGCCCTGGATGGCTCCAGCCCCTGGCAGGGGGCTCAGAGACCTTGGCACAGAGTCAAAAACACCTGTGATTTGATTTTTGGCCCCTGGAGAAAATTACCAACCTCATATGAGGATGTACAAGCCGTGAAAGTTTAGGTAGAATGATAGTTAGTTTGTCACGGGGTGGAAAAGTAGAATTTTGGGGGTTTTAGAATGGGGGTTCAGGAGGGAAGATGGAGGGATTTGGGTGTGCCCTGTCCTTCCTTCTCCTTCTCCTTCTCCTCCTTCTCCTCCTTCTTCTCCTTCTTCTCCTTCTCCTTCTTCTCCTTCTTTTCCTTCTTCTCCTTCTCCTTCTTCTCCTTCTTCTCCTTCTTCTCCTTCTTCTTCTTAGCCTCCATCTTCTGTGTGATGGTGGCACTTTTGGATTGGTTTAGGGACTGTCTAACACAGCTGATAGGTATTGGAAAACGATTGTAAATGAATTTAGTATAAAAGACAGTGTCTCAGGGCAGAGCAGGGTGCAGGGACCGACCTGCCAGACAGACCTGGGCAGGGAAAGAATTAATCAGATAAGAGAAAATAAACAACCTTGAAAACCAGAGGTGAAGAATCCTGACTCCTCCTCCCATTGCTGGGCTGGGAAAAAGAGACTTTCTACAAGCTCAGGGTCATCTCCACCACTCTGAGACATTTACACCTCTGGGCAGAGATCTCCAAAAGCTCCGGAGCTGCTGCAGCAGGAAGGCTTTGCCCAGAATTCCCCTGGAAAATGCAGCTGGGTGCCTTGGATTATTCATGAGCAGGATTCATTTTTAGAGTGGTTCTGGGCTGCTGTGAGCTCTGCAGGCAGCTCCGGGGACAAGGAGCTCAGACGGGGAGCTCGCCTGCTCTCCCTGCACTGACAGGGGCGGGGGTGGCACAATCCAAAAGTGCTCCAAAAGTGCTCCAAAAGTGCTCCAAAAATGCTCCAAAAATGCTCCAAAAATGCTGCTTAGGGACAGTAATGGAGGGGTTTCACTGAGTTACGGTTCCTGCTGTGATCCTGGCAGGGCCGGGGATCCTGAGGGAATCCTGAGGGAATCCTGAGGGAGGGGTGTTGGGAATTCTGAGGAAATCCTGAGGGAATCCTGAGGGAATCCTGAGGGAATTCAGAGAGAATCCTGAGGGAATCCTGAGGGAGGGGTGTTGGGAATCCTGAGGGAATCCTGAGGGAGGGATGTTGGGAATCAGCCCCAGGGAATCCTGAGGGATGGATGTTGGGGATTCTGAGGGAATCCTGAGGGATGGATGTTGGGAATCCTGAGGGAATCCTGAGGGAGGGATGTTAGGAATCCTGAGGGAATCCTGAGGGATGGATGCTGGGAATCCTGAGGGAGGGATGTTGGGAATCCTGAGGGAACCCTGAGGGAGGGATGTTGGGAATCCTGAGGGAGGGATGTTGGGAATCCTGAGGGATGGATGTTGGGAATCCTGAGGGAACCCTGAGGGAGGGATGTTGGGAACCCTGAGGGATGGATGCTGGGAATCCTGAGGGAGGGATGTTGGGAACCCTGAGGGAGGGATGCTTACTGCACAGCACACAGCCACCAGTGCAAACATCTGCCAACTGCTCTAAATCCCTGCTGGCTCTCAAACGCCCCTCTCCAAGTGGGAATGGCTCCGTGCCTCCTTCCCCAGCACTCCCAAAAACTTTCCCACCTCTCCCAAAACCTTTCCCATCCCTCCTGGAGCAGCCACACGCTGCCCTGATGTCCAGCTGGGCCAAACTGGGTCATGCTGGAAACCGGAATTTTCTGGAATTCCTTCCAGAAAATCCCCAAGGGAAGCTGGAATCCCGTGGCTCTGCACTTTGCTTTCCTGCCTTTCCCTCGTTTCCTGCCCCATTTCCCTGCCAGGCTGCTGCAGCTCCCGGCATCTGCTGGGTTTGATGGGAAAAGGGGCCAAGGGCAGCTGGGCTGGGGTTTCCTCCTGGGAGGAATGAGGGATTTGTCCTTCCAAACAAGCTCTGGGGCTCATTTATCAGCAAACCTAAGGTTTATTCCTAAAACCAAATTATCTTTTAGCATTCACCAACCAGTGGAACCCTTCCCACTGTTTCTTTCACCTTCCAATGCCTAATTTCATTTATGAGTAAACCTAAAGTTCATTTGTAAAATCAAATACTCTTTTCATTCACCAACCAGTGGAACCCTTCCCATTGTTCCTTTCACCTTTCAACACTTAATTTAATTTATCAACAAACCTAAAGTTTATTTGTAAAATCAAATACCTTTTCCCTCCACCAACCAGTGCAATCCTTCCCCACTGCTTCTTTTACTTTTCAATGCCTAATTTCATTTATGAGTAAACCCAAAGTTTATTTGTAAAACCAAATAATCTTTTCCCATTCATCACTCAGTGCAATCCTTCCCATTGCTCCTTTCACCTTTCAACACCTCGTTTCATTTATGAGTAAACCTAAAGTTTATTTGTAAAACCAAATAATCTTTTCCCATTCATCACTCAGTGCAATCCTTCCCATTGCTCCTTTCACCTTTCAATGCCCAATTTCATTTACCAGCCAACCCAAAGTTCATTTGTGAAATCAAGCACCTTTTCCATCCACCAACCAGTGGAACCCTTCCCACTGCTTCTTTCACCTTTCAACACCAAATTTCATTTATCAACAAACCTAAAGTTCATTTGTAAAATCAAATACTCTTTTCATTCACCAACCAGTGGAACCCTTCCCATTGCTTCTTTCACCTTTCAATGCGCTATTTAATTTATGAGTAAACCCAAAGTTCATTTGTGAAATCAAGCACCTTTTCCATCCCCCACCCCGAGGAAGCCTTCCCACGGTTGCTGTCTGTCCCGGGGCAGGTTTCCCCAGCCCAGCAGGTTTGGGCAGCCAGAGCAGCCCTCCCTGCTGCTCACCCTGTGCCGCAGTGCCTCGGTCTCCTCCTGGTACGCTGCCAGCTGCTGCTTCCACTGCTCCACGCTGGCGTTGGCCTCGTGCAGGGCGGCCACCAGCTTGGAGTTGTTGTCCTGCAGGCTGAAGAACTCGGCCTCCCACTGCACCTCGCTCACCGAGCTGGGGAAAAGGTGGGAAAAGGTCACATTTCCTGCAAAAATCCCCCTTGCCATGGGTTTTCTCCTGGGAAGATGAGAAGCTGCCCAAAACCTTCCCCAGCCAGACCCAGCTCTCACCAAAACCTTCCCCAGCTCTCCCAAAACCTTTCCCAGCTCTCCCAAAACCTTTCCCCACCAATCCCAGCTCTTCCAAAACCTTTCCCAGCTCTCCCAAAACCTTTCCCCACCAATCCCAGCTCTTCCAAAACCTTTCCCAGCTCTCCCAAAACCTTTCCCCACCAATCCCAGCTCTTCCAAAACCTTTCCCAGCTCTCCCAAATCCTTTCCCAACTAATCCCATCTCTCCCAAAACCTTTCCCAACCAATCCCAGCTCTTCCAAAACCTTTCCCAGCTCTCCCAAAACCTTTCCCCACCAATCCCAGCTCTCCCAAATCCTTTCCCAACTAATCCCATCTCTCCCAAAACCTTTCCCCACCAATCCCAACTCTCCCAAAACCTTTCCCATCTCTCCCAAAACCTTTCCCAGCCAGACCCAGCTCCCTGGGTGCGGGAGATCCAGGTCTGGATGTCCCCTCTGTGCTTTATCCCTTTAATACTTGTTTTTTGGGTCTGAAACTGCACAAACCACGTTGGCATTAATGGGGTGGGGCAGACCTGGGTACTCTGAAGGGGCTCTGCAGGGTGGGATGGTGAATCCACTTCAAAACCCCACACTGGAGCAGAGTTTGCTTTGAATAAAGCCCAGGACTCTTTGCTTTTGATTTAAAAATACCCCAAGTGTTCAGCTGGGAGCTTGACAGGAGCAGGATCCAGCCCCAAAGCCTTTTGAAGAGACAAAGAGAGGAAGCAGCAGGGACTTTGCTGGAATCACCAGGGGAAGGAACACAAACAAGTGTGAACATCTCCTGGTGCCACAGGATCCTGCTCTGGGCACGGCTGGCACGGAGCATCCTGCTCCCCTCCTGCCTGAGCAGATTTCCCAGCTGGAATAGATCCCTGCTGGGAAAGGGGGAATCCATCCAGGGGGGGGGTTGAGCAGCAGACAGAGAGAATTAAAAGGGCAGAATGGGTCAGAATTATTTGGGATGCACCAAACCCTGCCAGGGGAGAGTTTGGGGTCAGAGCAGCCAATCCCAGTGATTTGGGATGATAAAAACAAACTCTGCCAGGGGAGAGTTTGGGGTCACAGCAGCCAATCCCAAAGATTTGGGATGACAAAACCTGGCACCAAACCCTGCCAGAAGGGAGAATCTGGGAGTCAGAGCAGCCAATCCCCATTATTTGGGATGCACCAAACCCTGATAGAGGAGAGAATTTGGGGGTCAGAGCGGCCAATCCCAATGATTTGGGAAGCACCAAACCCTGCCAGGGGAGAATTTGGGGGTCAGAGCAGCCAATCCCAATGATTTGGGATGCACCAAACCCTGCCAGAGGAGAGTTTGGGCTCAGAGCAGCCAATCCCAGTGATTTGGGATGATAAAACCTGGCACAAAACCCTTCCAGAGGGAGAATTTGGCGGTGAGAGCAGCCAATCCCAATGATTTGGGAAGCACCAAACCCTGCCAGGAGAGTTTGGGCTCAGAGCAGCCAATCCCAATGATTTGGGAAGCACCAAACCCTGCCAGGGGAGAGTTTGGGCTCAGAGCAGCCTCACCCCTCCGAGAGCATCTTCTTCAGCCTCTCCTTCTCGGTGCTGATCTCCACATCCGCGCTCTGGCTGCGGAACAGTTTGTCCTCCCCCGGCCCGTTGGAGCTGATGATGGGGCTGGGGAGCACCTGGGGGGGGACAAGGACCAGGACAAGGACAAGGACAGGGTGGTCACCTCCAGCAGGGGGGCCTGGGATGGCCCTGTGGTCACCAACCCGGCCTGGCTGCACGGGGTCCGCGTGGAGGTGACAGAGGGACAGTGGGCCACACCTGGGGACAGCAGGGACACCCTGGGGACAGCAGGGACAGCCCTGGGGACAGCAGGGCCACGCCTGGGGACAGCAGGGACAGCCCTGGCACAGCAGGGACAGCCCTAAGGACATTTTCCTCACATTTTCTCCCCTTTCCCTCCTGTTTTCTCCTTTTCCCCCCTTTCCTCCCCATTCCCAGCCTCACCTGGTGGGAAGGGATGCTCAGGGCAGGGTTGGTGAGCTCAGTTTTATCCTGGCATTTCTCCCTGGCCACACGAGCGGCTTCCTTCACCTCCTGGAACTTCTCTGCAAACTGGAGGGGAGGGAAAAGGGAAAAGGGAAAAGGGAAAAGGGAAAAGGGAAGGGAAGGGAAGGTCACCCTGGGGCTGTGCACAGCAGAGCTCATGCTCTGCCTGCACCTTCATTAAAAACGCTTTTTAATTTCTCTCCAACAGCAAAATTCAGATTTTAATCTGAATTTGGAGCTCAGGGCCGTGGGTTCAGCACAGGAGCAGCACCTGCAGCTCCATTTGTGGCACCCAAACACAACTTTGAAGCTGTTTTTGGTGCCTTTGCGCCTTGAATTCCATTCCAGCCCGGTGAGAGCAGCACCTCAGCTGGTGCCTGAGGATTTCCTGGAGGCTTTTCTCCAGAGGGGCTCCCTGAGCTCACCTGGGCCAGGTTCCTGAGCTACCTGGGACAGGTTTCCAGATTTCTAGGCTCACCTGGCTCAGGTTTCCATGTTCCTGAGCTCACCTGAACATGTTTCCATGTTCCTAAGCTCACCTGGCTCAGGTTCCTGGGCTCACCTGGGACAGGTTCCCTGAGCTCACCTTACTGGTAAACACACCTGGCTGAGGGTTCCAGGTTCTGGGCTCACCTGGCTGAGGGTTCCAGGTCCCCTGCTCACCTGGACAGTTCCCAGGTCCCTGGCTCAGCTGGCTCAGTCCCTGGCTCACCTGTTTCACCTGTCTCACCTGCTCAGTCCCTGGCTCACCTAGCTCAGGTCCCTGGCTCAGTTCCCTGCTCACCTGGACAGTTCCCAGGTCCCTGGCTCAGTCCCTGCTCACCTGGACAGTTCCCAGGTCCCTGGCTCAGTCCCTGCTCACCTGGACAGTTCCCAGGTCCCTGCTCACCTGGCTCAGGTGCTGCTCGGAGGCGAAGCCCAGCCCGTAGACGGTGTTGGCCCTGCTGTCGGCCCACTGCCCGAACTTCTGCGACGTCTTGGTGAACGTCATGTTGGGGGTGATGGTGCTGTTGATGATGGCCTGCAGCGGGTGCGGGGATCGATCGGGGATCGATCGGGGATTGATCGGGGATTGATCGGGGATTGATCAGGGATTGATCAGGGGATCAATCAGGGATTGATCAGGGGATTGATCAGGGGATCGATCAGGGGATTGATCGGGGATTGATCAGGGATTGATCGGGGATTGATCAGGGATTGATCAGGGGATCAATCAGGGGATTGATCGGGGATTGATCAGGGATTGATCGGGGATCGATCGGGGATCAATTGGGGATTGATCAGGGATCGATCGGGGATTGATCGGGGATTGATCAGGGCATTGATCGGGGGATTGATCGGGGATTGATCAGGGATTGATAAGGGATTGATCAGGGGATTGATCAGGGATTGATAAGGGATTGATCAGGGGATTGATCAGGGAGTCAGTCAGGGATCAGTCAGGGATCAATCAGGGAATTGATCATGGAGTCAGGGGATCAATCAGGGGATCAATCAGGAAATCAGTCAGGGAGTCAGGGAATCAATCAGGGAGTCAGGGGATCAATCAGGGAATTGATCAGGGAATTAATCAGGGAATTGATCAGGGAGTCAGGGGATCAATCAGGGAATTGATCAGGGAGTCAAGGAATCAGAGAATCAGGGAATCAAACAGGGAATTGGGGAAATCAAACAGGGAGTCAGAGAACCAATCAGAAAACCAGCTGTTTCTGTGGGGGAAAAGCTGTTTTTCAGGGGGAATAGCTGGGGTTTTTGGTGAAAAGCTGCCTTTTTGGGGGCACAACTGCTTTTGTGGCAACACAGCTATTTTTTAGGGACACAGCTATTTCTTTATGGACACAGCTATTTCTTTAGGGGCACAGCTATTTCTTTAGGGTCACAGCTATTTCTTTAGGGTCACAGTGGGTTTCTTTTGGGGACACAGCTATTTTTTTTGGGGGGACACAGCTATTTCTTTAGGGACACAGCTATTTTTTAGGGTCACATCTGTTTCTTTATGGACACAGCTATTTTTTAGGAACACAGCTATTTTTTTGGGGGGCACACAGCTGGTTTCTTTAGGCACACAGCTGTGTTTTCAGGGGCACAGCTCTGTTTTTAGGGGACACATCTATTTCTTTAGGAACACAGCTATTTCTTTATGGACACAGCTATCTTTTAGGGTCACATCTATTTCTTTAGGCACACAGCTGTGTTTTCAGGCACACAGCTGGTTTCTTTAGGCACACAGCTATTTTTTAGGCACACAGCTGTGTTTCCAGGGGCACAGCTCTGTTTTTAGGGTCACAGCTATCTTTTAGGCACACAGCTGGTTTCTTTAGGCACACAGCTATTTTTTAGGGTCACAGCTATCTTTTAGGCACACAGCTGGTTTCTTTAGGCACACATCTATTTCTTTAGGCACACAGCTGTGTTTCCAGGGGCACAGCTGCCCCGCGGTGCCCCGGGCAGTGCCCACCTTGGTGCCCCCCACGCTGATGATCCTGTAGACGCTGCGGGTGGCATCGTAGAAGTAGGAGACGGTCAGGGCGTGTTTGCTGGCCGGGATCCAGTTCCTCTTGGTGGCTGGGTCGATCTGGAACACGTGGGCCCTGGTGCTGAAGATGGGCTGCTCCCTGCAGGGGTGGAGAACAGCGCTTGGAGCCGTGGTTTGAAAGGGTTAAAATTTCAGCTGAGGCTCAGAACCAATTCATACTGAAATTAAATAACAGGGCTTTGAATCATGATTTTATAGGGTTAAAATTTCAGCTGAGGGAACCAATTCATATTGAAATTAAATAGGGCTTTGAATCATGATTTTATAGGGTTTAGGTTTCAGCTAAGAGTCAGAACCAATGCACATTGAAATTAGATAAACCAACAGGGGAACAGGGCTTGGAACCATGATTTTATAGGGTTAGGATTTTATAGGGTTAGGATTTTATAGAGTTAAGGTTTCAGCTAAGAGTCAGAACCAATTCATATTGAAATTAGATAAACCAACAGGAGAACAGGGCTTTGAATAATGGTTTTGTAGGGTTAAAATTTCAGCTGAGGCTCAGAACCAATTCATACTGAAATTAAATAACAGGGCTTTGAATCATGATTTTATAGGGTTAAAATTTCAGCTGAGGGAACCAATTCATATTGAAATTAGATAACAGGGCTTGGAATCATTATTTTTTTAGGGTTAGGATTTCATAGGGTCAGGATTTTATAGGGTTGGGATTTCACCTGAGGCTCAGAACCAATCCATATTGAAGTTAGATAACAGGACTTTGAATCATGATTTTACAGGGTTAAGATTTCACCTGAGGCTCAGAACCAACTCATACTAACATTAGATGCACCAGTGACAGGCTGATGATCACTGGATGTTTAAATCTAAAGCACTGCTGTAGAAATAACAACCCGACGCCAATTGTTGCATTTTGAGCTCGTTTGTAGAAGGAAGTGGAGCAAGTGAAGGAAGGAATTGAAGGAACCTTTACTGAAACCAGAACAATGCCCAGCCCCTGGACTCTCAGTCCGTCCAAGCAGGGGCGTGGGTGGTGCCAGAGGGTCACAGAGAGCTGAGGAAGACCTTCCTGACTTCATCCCTGGGACCACTGACCCAGTTAGGGACCGCTGCCCCCATTAGAGAGGAGAACTGCACACGAGTGAAGGACTAATGACCTCATTTTAACAGAGCAGGGATGGGAGGGGCTGGGCTTATGCAAATGCCTTATTTTGGGAAACAGAAGGCAAAGAGCCCTGTGAGGGCAGTCACACATGTCGGAATTGTCGGCGATTTTGGGATTCAGCGGTTCGGCGTGAGGGAAGCTGAGGGAAGGGGAAGTGCAGGAATTTCCTCCCTTCCCTCTGCCCCGGGCACCCCTGCTGCTGCTCCAGTGCCAGCCAGCCCCTCCTGGGGCAATGCCAGGGACAGAGCCCTGCAGGAGTGACACAGCCATGCCTGTCACATTCGCATCCTCTGGAAAATCCCTCCGCCCTGGATTCCTCTCCTGGCGAGCTGAGAAGCCTCCGGGAAAAAGGGAAACGATTTTATCTCATTTGCTTCTGCTGCGTTTGGCTGCTCTGCAATGTGGTTGGAGGTTGTTTACCCACAGGTGATTGTTTCTTTGTGCTCAGTTGTGAATTATTTTCACTCTTTGGCCAGTCAGGGCTCTGGAGAGAGCCACGAGTTTTCATTATTATCTTTTTAGCCTTCTGTAAGTATCCTTTCTGTATTCTTTAATATAAAATAGTTTCATAAATAATAAATTAGCCTTCTGAGAACACGGAGTCAGATTCATCGTTCCCTCCTGCCACGAGGATCCCTGCAAATCCAATACTGGTTATCCCAGGAAAATCCTGGCAGAAAATCCTGGGAAAGCTCTGAGAAAATTCCCAGAAAATCCTGGGGAAGCTCTGAGAAAATTCCCAGAAAATCCTGGGGAAGCTGTTATAGTAACAGCCTGGCAGTCCCCTAAATCCCAGATTTAGAAGTTTTATGGGATTTAGGAATGTTTTAGGAATGTTTTCCATGACACAACAGCCCAGCTGCTCCAGGCTGGCTCTGACTAAACCCAGGGAAGTTTTATGGGATTTAGGAATGTTTTAGGAATGTTTTCCATGACACAACAGCCCAGCTGCTCCGGGCTGGCTCTGACCAAACCCAGGGCCCCCCTCAGCACCCAAACCCGGGGGGATTTTATGGGATTTGCCCCCGCTGGCAGCTGCAAGGCACAGGAACATTCCTGCTGTGTGGAGCCCCCCAAAACCCCGGCTGCTGCTGATCCCTCCCCATCCCGAGTGCTGCCAGCCTGTGCCATCAATCCAAACCCCCCTGGTGCTTTTCCAGAGCCAGCCCAGAACCCAGCAGGGAATATTTGATGTCCTCCCCGCTCCCAGCCTGCTCCCAGGTGCCAGCCCTGGCTCAGATTTCTCCTGCCAGCACACTCCACACCCTCTCTGCCTGCATTTTTGGAGCGAGATTCCAATTTCCCAGGCTCTGTTTTCACGTGGATCACGACCTATCTTTGGCACAGGGGAAAAAAATGGATATTTCTGCCCCTAGACCCCCGAGTCCTGGGCTGCTTTTGGAAAGAACAAAGGCAGGACTTTACCGAGCTGTTGACATTTGTTAGTAAGGGCAGGAGGCTGGTGCAGTTAGTGGGGTGTCCCCTCCTCCAGCAGCTCCTCTCAGGGCTCTCTCAGCTGCTCTGAGGCTCCTTCCCAGCGCTGCCTCCACAGGGATTCATTCCCTGGCAAGGGAAAGTCCAGCTGTTATTCCCCACACAGCCAGGCACCTCCAGGGGCTCTGTGTGCCCCCAATATCCACAGAGCTGCTCCTTTGCAGGGATTTCTCATCACTGAATGAGGGTTTTTCCCCCTGTTGTGGGAGATATTTGGGTGAGCTGTGCAAACCCCCCCTGGCTGCTGGGAGAGGCCACGAGGAGCCTGGGAGGCTCCAGAGCTTCCAGCCATGCCCATGAGCTGCTGCCTGATGGAAAACCCTCCTGGGAGATCATTCCTTGGGCACAGCAGCTGTCCCTGGGCTCCTGTCTGTCCTGGAGTCCTGTCCCTCTGTCCCTGTCCATCCTGGAGTCCTGTCCCTCTGTCCCTGTCCATCCATGATCCTGTCCCTCTGTCCCTGTCCATCCAGGATCAATGTCCCTGTGTCCCTGTCCATCCAGGATCCCATCCCTGTGTCCCTGTCCCTCCAGACCCCATCCCTGTGTCCCTGTCCATGCAGACCCCATCCCTGTGTCCCTATCCATCCAGGATCCATGTCCCTGTGTCCCTGTCCATCCAGGATCCCATCCCTGTGTCCCTGTTCCTGCAGACCCCATCCCTGTGTCCCTGTCCATCCAGGATCCATGTCCCCGTGTCCCTGTCCCTCCAGGATCCCATCCCTGTGTCCCTGTCCATCCAGGATCCTGTCCCTGTTTCCCTGTCCCTCCAGGATCCTGTCCCTGTGTCCCTGTCCATCCAGGATCCATGTCCCCGTGTCCCTGTCCCTCCAGGATCCCATCCCTGTGTCCCTGTCCATCCAGGATCCATGTCCCCGTGTCCCTGTCCCTCCAGGATCCCATCCCTGTGTCCCTGTCCATCCAGGATCCATGTCCCCGTGTCCCTGTCCCTCCAGGATCCCATCCCTGTGTCCCTGTCCATCCAGGATCCATGTCCCCGTGTCCCTGTCCCTCCAGGATCCCATCCCTGTGTCCCTGTCCCTCCAGGATCCTGTCCCCATGTCCCTGTCCCTCCAGGATCCTGTCCCTGTGTCCCTGTCCCTCCGTGTCCTCCCCAGCTCTCCTGGAGCCCTTCCAGGCTCTGGGAACAGCTCCAGGGTTTCTCTGGCGCTTCCCTTCCCCAGCCTTGGGCACCCCCAGGGGTGCAGGGTCGGCCTCGGCTGCTCTGGGAATTCCATCCCAGCCCCTTTCCATCACCTCCAGCCTGAACCAGCCCCGAGCCAGCAGAAGGGGCGGGTGAGGACAGAGGGACAGGACAGAGGGACAGCCAGCAGGTGACAGCCGGAGCTGAGCCCTGCAGGAGCCGCTGCCCAAAACACCCCCGAGCTCTGGGACTCCTGTTCCCCCTCCTGAGCCGACCCCAGCAGGGTCCCTGGAATGCTGACTCCTCTTTTCCTGCTCAGCAGCGGAGGGCGGATAAACAAACGTGTAAATAAAACCGCTCGCCCCCCCAGGGCTGGCCTTCGCAGATAATTAAGGAGAAGCGAAGCAAACGCCTGAAAGGACAAAGATCCGAGCGCCCTGGTGGCACTGGAAGGGATCCAGGTCCCTCCTCTGCTCCCAGCACAGGGGAAGGGCAGAATTCAACAGCCCGGGGAGCTTAAAAATGACTTGTCCCGGGTGGATATCCACTAAATGAAGGGATATCCACTAAATGAAGGGATACCAGGGCAGGAAGGGGTTAAATGCTGGGGTTTTAACACGTTCTCAGCCGGAATGTTTAGCCTTGATTTTGTTTTAAGGGTAAGGAAGGGGGGAATTGTGAGTTGCTGCAACTTCTTTTAGTGGGTATCCAATGAAAGAACACCTTCATTTAGTGGGTATGCATGAAAAGCTCCCTTTAATTTAGTGGATATCCATTAAAAGCACCCCTTCTTTTAGTGGATATCCTTTAAAATAAGACCTTAATTCAGTGGATATCCTTTAAAAGAACCCCTTCTTTTACTGGATATCCTTTAAAAGAACCCCCTCTTTTAGTGGGTATCCCATGAAAGAACACCTTAATTTAATGGATCTCCATTAAAAGCTCCCCTTAATTCAGTGGATCTCCATTAAAAGCACCCCTTCTTTTAGTGAATATCTATTAAAAGCACCCCTTCTTTTAGTGAATATCTATTAAAAGCACCCCTTCTTTTAGTGAATATCCTTTAAAAGCTCCCCTTAATTCAGTGAATATCCATTAAAAGCTCCCCTTTTTTTAGTGACTATCCTTTAAAAGCACCCCTTAATTCAGTGAATATCCATTAAAAGCTCCCCTTTTTTTCCTGGGAATCCCCCGGAGCCCCGGAGGCAGCAGCAGCAGGGGAAGGAAGGGATGGTTTCACTCCTTCCCCTCCCTCCAGGTGTTCCTCACCTGGCCCCAGGTGCTGCCTGGGCAAAGACCCAAAGGGCTCCTCCTGGGCTGCTCCTGGCTCGGAGCAGGGGAAGGGCCCAGGGGGGGTTTGGGGAGGGCACAGGGGTCCGGGAGATGTTTGGGGAGGATCCAGGGAATGTTTGGGGAGGATCCAGAGAAGGTCCCAGGGAATGTTTGTTATCTGTGATTTCTTATTTGTGATCTGTCATTTGTTATCTGTGATTTGTGATTTGCTATCTGTGATTTGTTATCTGTTATCTGTGATTTGTGATCTGTTATCTGTGATTTGTTATCTGTGATTTGTTATCTGTTATCTGTGATTTGTTATCTGTGATTTGTTACTTGTTATCTGTGATTTGTTACTTGTTACCTGTGATTTGTGATTTGTTATCTGTGATTTGTTACTTGTTATCTGTGATTTGTGATTTGTAATCTGTGATTTGTTATCTGTTATCTGTGATTTGTTACTTGTTATCTGTGATTTGTTACTTGTTATCTGTGATTTGTTATCTGTTATTTGTGATCTGTTATCTGTGATTTGTGCTCTGTGATTCGTGCCCTCAATTCACTCAGTTCTGGCCAGAGCAGCAATGACCCAGCAGGGCGAGGAGAGCTGGGGACACGGTGACACACGGCCAGGGGACAGCAGCCCTGTGCCAGGAGGGACAGATGGCACCAAGCAGGGCCAGCACTGGCACCACGCTGTGCCAGGAGGGGCAGCGGGCACGGGAGGTGCCAGGGGCTGGCAAGGACCCAGCCAGCCCTGCCACGGGTGTCACAGGGGATGGACAGCCCTGTCACGGGTGTCACACGGGCTGTCCTGCCCTGCCACGGGTGTCACACGGGCTGTCCTGCCCTGTCATGGATGTCACAGGAGCAGTCCAGCCCTGCCACGGGTGTCACAGGGGCTGGGCAGCCCTGCCACGGGTGTCACAGGGCTGTCCTGCCCTGCCATGAGTGTCACAGGGGCTGTCCTGCCCTGCCATGAGTGTCACAGGGGCTGTCCTGCCCTGTCACGGGTGTCACACGGGCTGTCCTGCCCTGCCACGGGTGTCACAGGGGCTGTCCTGCCCTGCCACGGGTGTCACAGGGGCTGTCCTGCCCTGTCACGGGTGTCACAGGGGCTGTCCTGCCCTGTCACGGGTGTCACAGGGGCTGTCCTGCCCTGCCACGGGTGTCACACAGGCTGTCCTGCCCTGCCACGGGTGTCACACGGGCTGTCCTGCCCTGCCACGGGTGTCACACGGGCTGTCCTGCCCTGTCATGGATGTCACAGGGGCAGTCCTGCCCTGTCACGGGTGTCACACAGGCTGTCCTGCCCTGTCATGGATGTCACAGGGGCAGTCCTGCCCTGTCACGGGTGTCACAGGGCTGGGCTGGCCCCACTGCCCTCGGGTGTCCCGGGCTGGGCTCTGCCCGCAGGGGCCTCTCCCTGAGCGGGATCTGCAGGGCAGGGACGGGTGAGGGGGCAGAAACTAGTACAGGACAGGACAAAAATGAGTGAGAACAGGACAGAAGTGAGAGAGAACAGGACAGGAATGAGAGAGAGCAGGATTAAAATGGGCACGAATAGGACAGGAATGAGTGTGAGCAGGAGAGGAATGAGAACAGGACAGGAATGAGAGAGTGGCACAGGAATGAGTGCGAGCAGGATTAAAATGAGTGTGAACAGGACAGGAATGAGTGAGAGCAGGACAGAAATGAGAGTGAACAGGACAGAAATGAGTACAAGACAGAAATGAAATGAGTACAAGACAGAGATGAGCCCAGGACAGGAATGAGCCCGGCCCTGGCCTCTGGCCACGCTGAGTCAGCTGGGAGCCCAGCCTGGGGCTGAGCCAGGCTCTCCCTCCCTCCCTCCCCAGGGAAAACCCCCCCAGGAATCCCAGGGAGAATCCCCCCAGGAATCCCAGGGAGAATCCCCCCAGCAATCCCAGGGAGAATCCCCCCAGCAATCCCCGGGAGAATCCCCCCAGCAATCCCAGGGAGAATCCCCCCAGCAATCCCAGGGAGAATCCCCCCAGCAATCCCAGGGAGAATCCCCCAGGAATCCCAGGGAGAATCCCCCAGGAATCCCAGGGAGAATCCCCCAGGAATCCCAGGCAGAGCCCAGCACCCCAAAAAGGCAGAACTGGGGCACAGAGAGGGGTTGGGAGCCCAACCCTCCTCCTCCTCCTCCTCCAGGGTGTCTGCTCTCCCTTTATCTCCCCTCTGCAGCCGCAGGGGCTGCTGTCAGTGCTGTCTGTCTGTCAGTGCTGGCTGTCTGTCAGTGCTGGCTGTCTGGGGAACTGGGGCTGATAAAAGTCACGCCCAGCTCCTTCCCCCCAAACTCCGAGCCCTGCAGAGCCTCTGGGGGTTCAGGAGAATCCCTGGAGCTGGGCTGGATGATCCCGTTCATCCAGGATATTCCATAGCCCAAAATATCCCACAGCTCAGCCCAGGACATTCCATAGCCCGGGATATCCCACATTTCAGGATATTCCACATTTCAACCCAGGTTATTCCACATTTCAGCCCAGGATATTCCACAATTCAACCCAGGATATTCCATATCCCAGGTTATTCCACATTTCAGCCCAGGATATTCCATAGCCCAGGATACCCCACCGTTCCTCCCCAAGGACACTGAACTGCAGAAGCGCTTTGGGGACAAAGTTTGGATTCCAAATCAGGATTTAGGGCTTTGGGGAGAAGGTTTGGAAGATGGATTTAGGGTTTTGGGGAGAAGGTTTGGGTTCCAAAGATGGATTTGGGGACAAGGTTTGGGTTCCAAAGATGGATTTGGGGACAAGGTTTGGGTTCCAAAGATGGATTTGGGGTTTTGGGGACAAGGTTTAGGTTCCAAAGATGGATTTGGGGACAAGGTTTGGGTTCCCAAGCAGGATTTGGGGACAAGGTTTGGGTTCCCAAGCAGATTTCCCCCCCAGCAGGTGCCAGGGCTGTGACCTTGGCAGGAGCAGCTCCAGGAATAGCCTCTGGCTCTTGCCCCGCTCCCAGGAGATTTCCCCGAGCAGGAATCCTGAGCAGCTGCACCAGAGCAGGGACCAGCAAGGTCACACACAAAAAACCCCAAAAAAAGGGATTTTCCCTGGAATTATGGAGCCTCCTGGGCGTGCCCTTCCTCCTCCTGCTCTGGGACACGAACACTGCTAGGACGGAATTAAAATTTAAAAATTTAAAATGGAATGTAGCAATTAAAATTTAAAATTGAAACAGCAGGCTGCAGCTCAGGAATCCTTCACAGAAAATGCATAAATAAAATAAGGAGGATGATAATAAATAAATAAATGAAATAAGGAGGACAATAATAAATAAATAAATGAAATAAGGAGGACAATAATAAATAAATAAATGAAATAAGGAGGACAATAATAAATAAATAAATGAAATAAGGAGGAGCCTAGTCCCGAGTTCTGGCCTTGTTAAGCCTCTCCTGGCAGGTCTGGCAGTTTCAGAGCAACAGGAAAAAAAACCAAACCTGATTTAACGGGATCAGCAGATCCCTGCCAGCTTCAAAGGCTCTGCCAGCCTCACGTCGCTGTCACTGCTCATTCCTCACTCCTGCCTCCCCAGCCCCGGCTCCAAAAGGAAAATTTTTTAAAAAGGAAAGTGGGAAATTAAAAAAAAAAAAAAAAAGGAAAATTTTAAAAAAGGAAATTCTTTAAAAAGGAAAATGGGAAAAAAATTTAAAGCAGAAAATTTAAAGAAAGGGAAAGGGTAAAATTTTAAAAAAGGAAAACAGAAAAATTCTTAAAAAGGAGAAGGGTAAATTTTAAAAAAAGGACAAGGAGCCCCCAGGAATGTGATTTATGCCAAACCCTGCTCGATCTGACAGAATTCCCCTGACCCGACTGCACAAAAACTCCCAAAGCGCCGGGTCCTGGAAGGGATCAGAGCTGGGAACGGATCAAAGCCCAGCCTGAGCTCCTGTCCCGCGCCAAAAGCAGCCAAAATCAGCCAAAACCAGCCAAAATCAGCCCAAAAGCCACCCAAAATCCACCCAAACCAGCCAAAAGCAGCCAAAACCAGCCAAAACCAGCCAAAATCAGCAAAAATCGGCCCAAAACCCGCCAAAATCAGCCCAAAATCCACCAAAACCCACCGAAATCAACCAACACCCACCCAAAATCCACCAACAGCTACCAAAGTCAACCAAAGCCCACCAAAATCCGCCAAAACCCACCAAAATCAACCAAACCCCGCCAAAATCCGCCAAAACCCACCGAAATCAGCCAAAGCCCACCGAAATCAACCAAAAGCCCCCGCTCCGTCCCGCCCCGGGAGCAGCCCGCGGGGTCGCGGCCCAAGCCCCGGCCGCTCCCGGCCGCTCCCGGCCCCAGGAACTCCCGGATCCTTTTTTCCCCAAGCCAGAGCCGCAACAAACCCAAGAAAATCCCGAATTTTCAAGTCCCGGGGAAGTTTTTGGGCACAGCCCCGCTCCAGCCTTCCCGGTTTGGGTTCCACAGATCCCCGGAGCTTTCCCTTCCACAGGAGTTAATTTAATTTAATTTAATTTAAAGAACTTGTAGCAACTCGCCATTCCCCACTTCCCCAGCTCAAAAATAAAAGGCGAGGCGAAACTTTCCAGCTGCAAGCGAGGGGGGAAAAAGCCATTTAACCCTTTAATTCCTGTCCCCGCCGCCGTGAAGAACAAAAGCAGAGCAAGAACAGCCCGCGGCTCTCACCCCATCCCCGCCGGTACCGGTACCGATCCTCTCCAGCCGCCGCCGCCTCCTCCTCCTCCTCTTCCTCCTCCTTCTCCCCTTCCTCTTTCTTTCTGTCTTTCTCCGGATCCGGATGCTCTTTAAATTTCCTCCGGAATTTCACTTTGAAGCGCTGCTGCTGCTGCTGCTCCGCGGTACCGGGAAAGGCTTCGGGAGTGGCACCGGGAGCGGCACCGGGATCGGTACCGGGAGTGGCTCCGGGATCGGGATCGGTACCGGGAGTGGCTCCGGGATCGGGACCGGCACCGGGATTGGCTACGGGAGCGGCACCGGGAGAGGCTCCAGGAGAGACAGGGGACCGGGAGCGGCACCGGGAGCGGCACCGGCACCGGGAGTGGCCCCGGGAGGGGCTCCGGGATCGGTCCCGGGGCGCTCCGGCGCTTCCCCGCCGCTGCTCCCCGGTTCCCTCGTTCCCTCCCAGCCCGGCAGGGAGCGGCTGGATGGAGCCGGTGCCTCTCCGAGCCTTTCCTCCCCCCGCACCGAGCGCTTCCCCGCGGCCCGGGCGGACCGAGCTCTTTGTTGCCCGCTCCCGGCCCGGTCCCTGCCGCTCCCTGCTCGGTCCTCGCCGCTCCTGCCCGGTCCCTCCCCGCTCCCTGCCGCTCCTGCCCGCTCCCTGCCGCTCCTGCCCGCTCCCTCCCCGCTCCCTACCCGGTCCCTCCCCGCTCCCGCCGCCCCATCCCTCTCACGTTTGGCCGCTTTTCTTCTCCCGACTTTATTCGCGGCGCCGGCAGCACCACCTGCCGGGGACAGCGGGCTGGGGACCACCGGGGACAGCGGGCTGGGGACCCCCAGGGACAGCGGGCTCGGGGCCACCGGGGACAGCGGGCTGGGGACCACCGGGGACAGCGGGCTCGGGGCCACCGGGGACAGCGGGCTCGGGGCCACCACCTACCACAAGAGCTCTGACCCCCGGAACCGTCTGCAGCACAAAAACCTGCAGTCCTTGGGGTTCTCTGGGCCCCGGAGCCCCCTGTGACCCCAAATCCTCTGTGTCCCAAAACCCCCCACCCCTGGAATCCAGAATTCCACCCGGGCAGCACGAGCACAGGAGCGATAACCTGGGTGTGATAACCCGGGTGTGATGACTGGAGTTTGATAAACCAGGTGTGATAACCCGGGTGTGATAACCTGGGTGTGATAACACCAGTGATAACCCGGGTGTGATAACCCGGGTGTGACAAAACCAGTGATAACCCGGGTGTGATAACCCGGGTTTGATAATCCAGGTTTGATAACCCGGGTGTGAAACCCCGCTGCCCACACTCAGCCTTTCCTCTCCTCCCCGTCCTGCGCTGTTTTCCTTGTGCCAGGTGTCACCTCTGTCCCCCAGCGTCCCATCCCTGTCCCTGTCCTCGTCCCTGTCCCCATCCCTGTCCCTTTTCCCTGTCCCCTGTGTCCCTGTCCCTTGTCCCCATCCCCTGTGTCCCTGTCCCCATTCCTGTCCCCTGTCCCTTGTCCCCATCCCTGTCTCCATCCCCATCCCTGTCCCTTGTCCCTGTCCCCTTTCCCTATCCTCTGTCCCTGTCCCCATCCCTTGTCCCCATCCCCGTCCCTATCCCTGTCCCTTGTCCCCATCCTTGTCCCCTGTCCCTGTCCCGTGTCCCTGTCCCCATCCCTGTCCCTTATCCCTATCCCTGTCCCTTGTCCCCATCCTTGTCCCCTGTCCCTGTCCCGTGTCCCTGTCCCCATCCCTGTCCCTTGTCCCTATCCCTGTCCCCTGTCCCCGTCCCTCTCCCCTGTGTCCCCATCCCTGTCCCCTGTCCCCATCCCTGTCTCCATCCCCATCTCTGTCCCTTGTCCCTGTCCCTTGTCCCCATCCCTGTCTCCATCGCCATCTCTGTCCCTTGTCCCTGTCCCCTGTCCCCATCCCTGTCCCTGTCCCCTCCCGTGTTTGTCCAAACCAAACTCCCTTTCTGGCAGGATTTCCTCTCACCTCTGTTATTTTGTCACTTCTGAGCTGAACGCTGCTGATGCTGAACAGAAACAGTGTTTGGTGCTTTAGTAGTTGAGTATTATTTCAGCACTTTAGTATTTAAATGTTAAAATTTCAGTGTTTAAATTTGAACCACTGGAATTTAAACTCCTGCAGGGATCCCCCATCTCCTCCTAGAGCACAAAACCTCCAATAAACCCCAAAATCTGTCACCAGCCGCTGCTTTTAACCCCAAAATTCCCTTTTTTTCCCCACACCTGCTCAAAATTCCTCTCCCAAACGGCCCCTGAGCCACTTTTGTGTTCCCAAGGACAGAAATTCATCCTTCAGCACTAAAAATACCCCAAATTCACCTTCAATTTTCTGTTTAAAGCAGTTCATTAAAGCCTCCCTGTGCCCCTGAGGCCGCTGCAATCCCGGTTTTACAGGGAACTGAAATGATTTTTAAATTATTTCAATTATTATTTTTAAATTATTCCTCACTGCCCGGAGGTTCCAGATCCATTTCCCCCGATTTTTTTTCCTCCTTTCCCCTTTTTTTAGCCTCTCCAAAGAAATTTCCCCAGAAGTTTTACATAAAATGTTTGTAATTTCCAAGGCAATATTTGGAATTTCCTCCAGCCCCGATCGCAGCAGATCCTCCCTCCCCCCGGGCAATTAGCCCGGTTTAATTGGGGCAGGTAATTAATGAGAGCTCTGGGGGGGGGGCAGGAGGGCTCTGCCCTACTTGGGGGGATGGGGCTGCAGGGAGGGGACAGAGGGGACAGGGATGGGACAGGGGCTGCAGGGAGTCCCTTTGACACTGCTGGGGAGGGACAGGGGGACAGAGGGGACAGGGGACACGGGGACAGGAAAGAGATGGGGACAGAGGGGACAGGGACAAGGGCTGCAGGGAGTGCTTCTGTCATTGCTGGGGAGGGGACAGGGACAGGGGACAGGAAAGGGACAGGGATGGGGACAGGGATGGGGACAGGGATGGGGACAGCAGGCAGGGACAGGGACACGGCTGGAGCCACTTGGGATGGCAGAAAGTGTCTCCAAGGTGTCCCCAGAGTGTCCCCAGGACTGTCCCCAAGGTGTCCCCAGATGGGATTTGAGGTCCCTCCCACCCCAACCCTCCCTGACCCCACAGGACCGCAGGAAACCCCAAACCCTGAAATCCCAAACACCAAACCCCAAATCCCAAATCCCAAACACCAATATCCAAAGCCCAAACCCCAAACCCTGAAATCCCAAACCCCAAACCCCAAACACCAAAATCCAAAGCCCAGAACTCCAAAATCCCAAACCCCAAATACCATACGCCAAAATCCCAACCCCAAACTTCCAAACCCCCAAATCCTAAACCCCAAAATTCCAAATCCCAAACACCAAAATCCCAAACCCCAACCCCTAAAGTCCCAAACCCCAAAATTCCAAATCCCAGACCCCAAAATCCCAAAGCCCAAACTTCCAAACCCCAAAATCCAAATCCCAAAATCCCAAACACCAAAACCCCAAACACCGAAATTCCAACACCAGAATTTTATTGGCACAGAGAACTCCACCAGTCCCAGCCCCAAACTGAACCCAGGTCACCAAAAACCCCAAAATTGGATTTATTCCAGAAAAACCCTGTGGTGGTTCCAGCATATTCTGATTTTTCAGGTGTTTTATTCTGATTTTTCAGGTGTTTTATTCTGATTTTTCAGGTGTTTTATTGCTCAAACCCACCTCAGGTTGTGCTTGGCCACTCAGCTGTGAGATATGCAGGATTAAAAATGAAAATTAAATTTTAATTTTGTTTTAATTAGGGTAGGAAGAAGCCAAAAGGAGAATATTTGGATTTTTGAGGCCAGGTTTTATTTGGGCAAAATAAAAGTTGGGAGTGGGAGGTCAAGAAGAAAAAAAAAAAAAAAGTTGTATATTGATTTTTGGGAAAGAATTAATTCCAGTTTTTGGTGAGGAATCCCATCCCAAAAATGGATTTTGACCCCAAAATCCTGCTCTGCACCCAGAGGAATTCCAAATTCCAGCAAAAAAAAAATTGAATTTAATTAAAATAGAAATGCATATCTCCTCCAAAGGGCCAAAGTCACGAGGAAAAATCCAAATTAAACATCACAGGCAGCAGGAACTGTCCAGCTCTACGTTTATTGGATTGAACATTTCTACCAAAGTGTTACTGACACCAAAATGGGGAAAAATCTTCATTTTCCCTCTCTTGGGATGGAAAGCTGCACGGAAAGGAGGGAATTTGGGGTGGAATTCCAGGGAAAATCCAGAACTTGGGGTGGAATTCCAGGGAAAATCCGGAATTTGGGATGGGAAATCCAGAATTTGGGGTGGGAAATCCAGAGTTTGGGGTGGATCCCAGGGAAAATCTGAAATTTGGGGTGGAATTCCAGGGGAAATCCAGAACTTGGGGTGGAAAATCTGGAATTTGAGGTGAGAAAAGAGAGAGAAAAGAGAGAGAAAAGAGAGAGAAAAGAGAGAGAAAAGAGAGAGAAAAGAGAGAGAAAAGAAAGAGAAAAGAAAGAGAAAAGAAAGAGAAAAGAGAGATTCTCAGAAATCTGAAAAATTTCAACAAATGAAGATTTTGGGGTCACTCAGCACCTCCAGAATCTCAGAAATCAGAAAAATTTGGAAAAATTAAAATTTTAGGGTGGCTCAGCACCTCCAGAATCTCAGAAAAAATCTCCAAAAATTTACAATTTTGGGGTGGCTCAGCACCTGCAGGGCACCTCAGAAGCCACAAAACTCCCCCAGCATTGCAGGAAGAGGAAGAATTTTGGAGTGAAATGGAATTTTCCAGGCGGATTTTGGCACTCACCTATTTGTTTGCCCTTTTCTGTCGGTACATCTGGATCATCCTCTGGCGGAAAATGTCAAAAGCATCTTCTTGGTTTTCTTCCCCTGCCACTCCCAAACCCTCCCCAGCAGAGGTTGCACCCCTGGGGAAGAAAATTTCACAATTAAAACCAAAAAATCGGATTTTTTCCAACCAATTTTGCATCATTTGGTGCTTGGTGCAGCCAATTATTTGGAATTATTTTGAATTATTTGGAATTATTTTGAATTATTTTTAATTATTTGGAATTATTTGGAATTTTGTCCCTCAATTCTCATTAGAAGGTGAATTCCTAGTTGAAAAATTGGATTTTGTGGGAAAAAAAAATCAGGTGGGAGAGGGAATTGTGGAATAAATTTGAAGTTTAGGTTTGGTTTTCTGGTGGAAAAATGTCCCAAAAAATCTTGATTTTGGGATTTCAGGAATTCAGGTGCAGAGGATTTGAGGAGGGAGCAGGGAATGGCAAAGAATTCTGGATAAAAGGGAATTTTAGGGAAATTTAGGGAATTTCTCATATTAAATCTCTATTTTCCCCCATTAAAAACATGAATTTCCCCTATTAAAAACTTCTATTTCCCCATACTAAAACCTTTATTGCCCCCATTACAAACTCTTATTTTCCCCATTAAAAACTCTTCATTTCCCCATTAAAACCTCTATTGCCCCCACTAAAACCCCTTTTTTTTCCCCATTAATCCCCCTATAACCCCCCTATTTTCCCCAATAAATCCCCCATAAATCCCCCTTTTTTCCCCCATTTTCCCCCATAAATCCCCTATTTTTCCTCCATAAATCCCCCAATAAATCCTCTATCAATCCCCTTTTTTTGCCCATAAATCCCCTGTTAAATCCCCCAATTTTCCACAATAAATCTCCCACAAGTCCCCTATTTTCCCCCACAAATCCCCTTTTTTCCCCCATTAATCCCCCTACAAATCTCCCATAAATCCCCTATTTTTCCCCATAAACCCCCCACAAATCCCCCTTTTTTCCCCAGAAAAAATCTCCCTATTTCGCCCCCATAAATCCCCTATTTTCCCCCCGTTAAATCCCCCATTAAATCCCCCAATTTTCCCCAATAAATTCCCCAAAATCCCCTATTTCCTCCCCATAAATCCCCCTATTTTCCCTCCATAAACGGCGTAAATTGAATTTTTTCAGTGGAATTTCCCTCTTTTAAACCAGATTTTAAAGGAATTTTCCTTCATTTAAAGGAATTTTTAAAGGATTTTTTAGAAAGGAGTTTCCTACTCTTAAAGGAATTTTTTAAAGGAATTTCCCCTCTTTAAAAGGGCATTTTTAAAGGAATTTCCTCTTTTAAAGGATTGTAAGTTCCTGGGGCTCAGCCTCTTCTGGGGCACCTCCACAGCCCTGGGCTTCTGGGAAAAATAAAAATAAATTAAAAAAAAAATAAAGGAATTTATTAGGGGTTGGTGAAATGGGTGAAATTCTCATTCAGGACTGGTGTAAATTGAATTTTTTCAATGGAATTTTCCTTTTTTAAATGAGATTTTAAAGGCATTTTCCTTCATTTAAAAGGATTTTTAAAGGATTTTTTTAAAAGGAATTTCTTACCCTTAAAGGATTTTTTAAAAGAATTCCCCTTCTTTTAAAGGAATTTTTAAAGGAATTTCCCATCTTTTAAAGGAATTTTCAAATTAATTTCCTTACAGTAATTTCCTTCTTTAAAAGGAATTTTTCAATAATTTTTTTAAAATGAATTTCCTTCTTTCCAGATTTATTTTTCCCAAACCATTTCTCATTTTTGGTTGGATTTTGTGGCAGAAATGTGAATTTTTTACCTTTTTTTTCTTTGTGACAGGGCAGCCCCGGGGTCTGTCATAAGCAATCCTGACAGGTTCATGCACTGCAAGGCAAAAAACCCACAAAATTCAGCTGGAAATTCAAATTATTTAATAAAAAACCTCCAAACCACAGCAAAAAATCTTCCAAAAATTTGCATTTCAAGCCTGGACCTAAAACAGAAGCAATAAGAAAAATTAGAGCAATAAAAAAGACCAGAATTCATTAAAAAATTCAATATATACTCAATTTAATAGAAATATATTGACCCATAACAAATGATTTCTTCAGCTTCTCTTTTTAAAGTGAATTTTCTGTTCATTTTTGAAGGAAAAAATGTGATTTTTTAAGCAACAACCAGCAAGAAAACACCTAAAAAATTCAGATTTTTGCCCAAATTCTCTTCTGAAATATTTTGATGGCCACTGATCTTTGGGCTCTTCTATCCTCTGCCACTTTAATGAAGATTTAAAGTGAATTTTGTGTTCATTTTTGTACCAAAAAATGCAATTTTTAATGGAAAAACACCTTAAAAATCAGGATTTTTGCCCAAATTCTCTTATATTTTAACATAAAAGTGAAATATTTCAATGCCCACCCACCTTTGAGCTCAGATCCTTTTGGGGCCAGGATCATCCCAACTTTCAGAGACTTGGAGCTGAGTTTTGTGTAAAGAAATGTGATTTTTTAAGTGACAAAATATCTAAAAAAAACTGGATTTTTGCCCAAATCCTCTTTTATTTCAGTATAAAATTGAAATATTTCGATGCTCACTGACCTTTGGGCTGTTCTAGCCTTTCATGAAGATTTCAAGTCAATTTTGTGCTCATTTTTGTACCAAGAAATGCAATTTTTTATGGAACAACCCCCAAAAAAATGGGGATTTTTGCTCAAATTCCCTTTTTTTCTATACACAATTTAACCCTTTCAGTGCCCACTGACCTTTTGGCTCCTGGGTGAGGCCGATCCTTTGGGGGCCGGGATCAGGCCCACCCTCAGGGACTCGGAGCTGAACTTCGTCTAGGAGAAATGATGTTTTTTAAGCAACAACATGTAAAAAAAGTGGGATTTTCTCCCAAATTCTCATTTATTTCTATATAAAATGCAATCATTTTGATGCCCACCCACCTGTGGGCTCCTGGGTGAGGCCGATCCTTTGGGGGCCGGGATCAGGCCCACCCTCAGGAACTTGGAGCTGACCCTTTGCATTAAAGAAACGCCAATTTTTAAACGACACCTAAAAAATCAGGTTTTTTTTCCATATCCTCTTTTATTTCAGTGTAAAATGTAACCATTTTGATGGTTACCCACCTTTGGACTCCTGGATGAGGCAGATCCTTTGGGGGTTGGGATCAGGCCCTCCCTCAGGGACTCGGAGCTGAACTTTGCATTGAAAAAACGCCATTTTTCAAGTAACAATACACCCAAAAGATGGGGATTTTTTTTCCCAAAATCCTCATTTATTTTACTGTAAAATGTAACCCTTTAATTGCCCACTGACCTTTTGGCTGCTGGATGAGGCCGATCCTTTTGGGGGCCGGGATCAGGCCCACCCTCAGGGACTTGGTGCTGACCCCTTTGCATTAAAGAGAGGCCATTTTTTGAAGAGACAACACCTAAAAAATGGGGATTTTTGCCCAGATTCCCTTTTTTTCCACACAAAACGGAACCATTTAGATGGCCACTGACCTTTTGGCTCCTGGATGAGGCAGATCCTTTTGGGGGCCGGGATCAGGCCCACCCTCAGGGACTTGGAGCTGACCCGTTTGCGGGGGAAGCGCGCGCCGGGGCCCGGGCCGGGTGCCTGTGTCGACAGATTTGGGACAGCGCCGTCAGAGGGGCTGGAGAGCTGCACTTCACCTCCTGACATCTCCTCTCCTGCTCTGGACACCAAATCTTCCTCTAGCTTTGTCACCCTTCTACCTGCTGCCACGTCCTCCTCATCCTCCTCATCCTCCTCATCAGGTTGGGAGGGTTCAAACTCAGCTTCTTCTTCTTCTTCCTCTTCTTCTTCTTCTTCCTCCTCTTCCTCCTCGTCCTCCTCCATGTCCAGGGTTGTCCCCGCAGCTCTGGCAGCTTCTGCAGCCTCGGGGCTGAAGGTGATGGAGGGGCACAGCTCCATGACTTTCATGCGGTAGAATTTGAAGGCAGGGCTGGTTTGGTCCTGGAGGAACCTGGGGTGAGGGAATGGGAAATGAGGAATAAAAATGAGGGGGGAAAAGGGGGAAAATGCAGGGGAAATAAGGGGAAAAGTCCAGGGGAAAATATGGTCAAAAATCCAGGGGAAACAAGGTCAAAAAGCCAGAGAAACAATATCAAAAATCCAGGGAAGATAAGGGTAAAAACGCAGGGGAAATTAGGTCAAAAGTCCAGGGGAAAATATCATCAAAAATGCAGGGGAATAAGGTCAAAAATCCAGAGGAATAAGGTCAAAAATTCAAGGAAAACAAGGTCAAAAATTCAAGGAAAACAAGGTGAAAAATCCAGGGGAAACAAGGTGAAAAAATCCAGGGAAGATAAGGCAAAAATCCAAGGGAAAATATGGTCCAAAATCCACGGAAATAATGTCAAAAAGCCAGAGAAATAAGATGAAAAATCCAGGGAAAACAAGGTCAAAAATCCAGGGAAAACAAGGTCAAAAATCCAGCAAAGGTAAGGCCAAAAATGCAGGGGAAATAAGGTCAAAAGTCCAGGGGAAATTAAGGTGAAAAAGAGATTTTCTTCAGCTGGAATGATGTAAGAATTTAGGAATAAATCTCTGGTTGATTTATGGAGTGGCCAGGGCAGGTGGTTTTGGGGAGAAATGGGAGATTTCCTTCCTAAAAACAGCAATTTCCCCTCCAGTTCAGCAGCATTTCCCAAATTCTTCTGGGAAGAATTAATTGGGAAAAATGAATGAATTCATTGGGAAGAATTAATGAACTCAATGGGAAGAATTAATTGGGAAGAATTCATGAATTCATTGGGAAGAATTAAGGAATTCAGTGGGAAGAATTAATGAATTCAGTGGGAAGAATTAATGAATTCAGTGGAATCATCTTGAAAATTCCCAGTTTCAGGGTTCAGCTTGGTGATTAGGCTCAAAAATAAATCAAGTTGATGATCAGAAATCAAGACATTTATACATAAATGGGTTTTTTTTCCTGAGATATTTCAGATATTCACCATTAATGCAAGTGCTGGAGAACGGCCCCAAAACCCCCTGTTCCTAAAATCCCTAAATGCAGAGATTGGAGCAGAAATGGGAGGCAAGGAAGGAGCTGGCACTCACCAGAGGTCGGGGTTATCTGCACTGTTGTCAATGCTGAACTGCTCAATTTCTGGTCCTACCTGAGCCACAAACCTGGCCAGTTTCTCTGCAGTTTCCATGGTTTTGGCATCCACTGCAAGGAACGAAATGTTCTGGTAAAAAAGCTCAGGGCAGCTGAGAACTTCAAAATTCACAGTTCAAGAAATGGGGGTTGGGGTTTCCAGCAGGAATTCTTTTTGTGGATTGCAGGAGAAGTTTGGGGTTTTTTCTGGACACAATTTAACATTTCCATTCTAACCCTGTTTGTTTTCTCTGCTGTAATTTAAAATCCCAAATCAAACCCCAGACCACTGCAGGTGAGAAATGCATCAATACAATATAAAAGAAATTATATTTGGGGTTTCCAGCAGGAACTTTTGTGAATTGCAGGAGAAGTTTGGGTTTTTTCCTGGACACAATTTAACATTCCCAATCTAACCCCTGTTTGTTTTTTCTGGACACAATTTAACATTCCCAATCTAACCCCATTTTGTTTTCTCTGCTGTAATTTAAAATCCCAATATAACCCCTGTTTGCTTTTTCTGGACACAACTGAACATTCCCATCCTAACTCCTGTTTGTTTCCCTGCTACAATTCAAAATTCCCAATCTAACCCACTTGTTATTCCCAATCTAAACCCTGTTTGTTTCCCTGCTATAATTTAAATTCCCAATCTTACCCCTGTTAGTTTTCCCCTGCTATAATTTAAAATACCCAATCTAACTCCTGTTTGTTTTCCTGCTAAAATTCAAAATTCCCAATCTAACCCCATTTTCTTTCCCCTGCTATAATTTAAATTCCCAGTCTAACCCCATGTTAGTTTTTTTTCCCTGCTACAATTTAACATTCCCAATCTAACCCGTTTGTTTTCCTGCTATAATTTAAAATTCCCACTCTAACCCCATTTTCTTTCCCCTGCTATAATTTAAATTTCCCAATCCAATCCGTTTGTTTTCCTGCACAATTTAAATTCCCAGTCTAACCCCATGTTAGTTTTTTTTCCCTGCTACAATTTAACATTCCCAATCTAACCCGTTAGTTTTCCCTGCTATAATTCAAAATTCCTAATCTAACCCGTTAGTTTTCCCTGCTATAATTCAAAATTCCCACTCTAACCCCATTTTCTTTCCCCTGCTATAATTTAAATTCCCAGTCTAATCCCACGTTAGTTTTTTTCCCTGCTATAATTCAAAATTCCCACTCTAACCCCATTTTCTTTCCCCTGCTATAATTTAAATTTCCCAATCCAATCCGTTTGTTTTCCTGCACAATTTAAATTCCCAGTCTCACCCCAGCCCTCACTCACCATCAGCAAACTGCGAGCCCAGGCCTGGGAGAAGCTCAGGAGCTGCTGCCAAAGCCTCAGGGTCTGCTTTTCCCTCTGCTGCCCCGGGCACCTGGCAGCAGCTGGCACCTTGGGGGGCACAGCTGGCACCCTGGGGGGCACAGCTGGCACCTCCTGGGGCTGAGGAGGTGGCACCTTGGAGCGCAGAGGGGGTGGCACCTTGGAGGGCAGAGGAGGTGGCACCTTGGAGGGCTGAGGAGGTGGCACCTTGGAGGGCTGAGGAGGTGGCATCTTGGGGGGTACAGGTGGCACCTTGGGGGGCACAGGTGGCACCTTGGGGGGCTGAGGAGGTGGCACCTTGGAGGGCAGAGGTGGTGGCACCTTGAGGGGCACAGCTGGCACCTTGGGGGGCTGAGGAGGTGGCACCTTGGGGGGCAGAGGAGGTGGCACCCAGGCCAGGCTGTGCCAGGCCAGCCTTGGCACCTGGAGGATTTTTGTCTGGCTGTTTCAGCACTGTGCCAGCTGACAGCAGGGTCTGGGTGCCCGTGCTTGCCCTCCTCACCCTCCTGGCACGGGCAGGGACAAGGACAGGTTTTTTTTTATGCTTGAAAAGTCTCCTTTTGATGCTGGCAACTCTCCTGGCATAGAGCATGGCCCTCAGGGACTCTGGGGCTGCTGCCTCCCCTGCCAGGCTGCTCCTCTGCACCTCGGACAGCCTCAGCCTGTAGTATTTGTACTCCAGGCTCTCCTCGTCACACAGGAACCTGAGAAACACAGGAAAAGGGAAAATCAGCTAAAAATCTCCATTTTTACTGTGGTATCTGTACTCCAGGCTCTCCTCGTCACACAGGAACCCGAGAAACACAGGAAAAAAAGAGAAAGCAGATGAAAATCTGCATTTTGTACTGTGATATCTGTACTTCTTGTCACACAGGAACCTGAGAAACACAGGAAAAGGGAAAATCAGATGAAAATCTGCATTTTGTACTGTGATATCTGTACTTCTTGTCACACAAGAACCTGAGAAACACAGGAAAAGGGAAAATCAGCTAAAAATCTCCATTTTTACTGTGGTATTTGCACTCCAGGCTCTCCTCGTCACACAGGAACCTGAGAAACACAGGAAAAAAAAGAGAAATCAGCTGAAAATCCCCATTTTTACAGCCTCAGCCCATGATATTTGTACTCCAGGCTTTCCTCCTCAGAAAGGAACCTGAGAAACACGGAAAACAAAGCCGACACAGGAACCTGAGAAACACAGGAAAATCAGATTAAAATCTGCATTTTGTACTGTGATATCTGTACTTCTTGTCACACAGGAACCCGAGAAACACAGGAAAAAAAGAGAAAGCAGATGAAAATCTGCATTTTGTACTGTGATATCTGTACTTCTTGTCACACAGGAACCTGAGAAACACAGGAAAATCAGATTAAAATCTGCATTTTGTACTGTGATATCTGTACTTCTTGTCACACAGGAACCTGAGAAACACAGGAAAATCAGATTAAAATCTGCATTTTGTACTGTGATATCTGTACTTCTTGTCACACAGGAACCTGAGAAACACAGGAAAATCAGATTAAAATCTGCATTTTGTACTGTGATATCTGTACTTCTTGTCACACAGGAACCTGAGAAACACAGGAAAATCAGATTAAAATCTGCATTTTGTACTGTGATATCTGTACTTCTTGTCACACAGGAACCTGAGAAACACAGGAAAAAAAAGAGAAATCAGCTGAAAATCCCCATTTTTACAGCCTCAGCCCATGATATTTGTACTCCAGGCTTTCCTCCTCAGAAAGGAACCTGAGAAACACGGAAAACAAAGCCGAGATCAGCTAAAAATCTCAATTTTTAAAGTAAAACCCCTCAGCATTCCAGTTTGTTTGTTTTTCCCAGGTGTTTAGCATGAGGCTGAGCAGGTTTCTCTGGGATCAAGGAATGAAATCCTGGAGGGGTTTGACAGGAATTAATCAACTCACACACCTGGAGGTGTCTCAGCTCCCCCTTTCCCACATTTTCCCTGGAATTCTAAACCCTGGCACCTTGCTGGATGTCTCCATCACCTGAATTTGCTCCTAAAATGCAAATTCCTTTGAACACCTTGAATTTGAGAGCCATTATTGGCACATCAAAAGCAACAACAGGATCATTCCCGGGGATAATTAACTCCAGCAAAACATTCCCCCCCGCTAAAAAAAAACCTAATTAAATATACAACAGGCTTTGATCATTCCCAGTGAGTGAAAGGCTGAAGTTTTAATTAATCTACTCCAAATTTGCCAGCCAGTTCCCACACACCCACCAGTATTCAGGAGAGTTCTTCTGAGCATTCCTGTCCTTGGCAGACAAAGTTCCTGCCACGATGCTGCTCACCAGCTGCTCAATTGTGTCCAGAACCTTCCTGTCAGCTCGTTGGGGGGCTGTGGGGAGAAAGAAATCCCATTAAAATCCCCCCAAAATAAATAAATATATAATACGTGTATAGTAAATATATATATTCACCCAAAATTCCATCTGTGATTGGGATTCACCTGGAATTTCATCCCTGAGTGGGATTCATCTGGAATTTCAGCCCTGATTTGGATTCACCTGGAATTCCCTCCCTGCCCCAGCCCTGAGTGGGATTCACCTGGAATTCCATCCCTGATTTGGATTCACCTGGAATTCCATCCCTGCTCCAGTTCTGACTGGGATTTACCTGGAATTTCAGCCCTGAGTGGGATTCACCAGGAATTCCTTCCCTGCTCCAGCCCTGATTTGAATTCACCTGGAATTCCTTCCCTAAGTGGGTCTCACCTGGAATTCTATCCCTGATTGGGATTCACCTGGAATTCCCTTCCTGCTCCAGTTCTGAGTGGGATTCACCTGAATTCCATCCCTGAGTGGGATTCACCTGGAATTCTATCCCTGATTTGGATTCACCTGGAATTCCCTCCCTGCTCCAGCCCTGACTGAGATTCACCTGGAATTGAATTCCCTTCCCTGCTCCATCCCTGAGTGGGACTCACCTGGAATTCTATCCCTGAGTGGGACTCACCTGGAATTCTATCCCTGATTGGGATTCACCTGGAATTCCCTTCCTGCTCCAGTTCTGAGTGGGATTCACCTGGAATTGAATTACCTTCCCTGTTCCAGCCCTGAATGGGATTCACCTGGAATTCCATCCCTGAGTGGGACTCACCTGGAATTCCCTCCCTGCTCCAGCCCTGACTGAGATTCACCTGGAATTGAATTCCCTTCCCTGCTCCATCCCTGAGTGGGACTCACCTGGAATTCCCGCAGTCAGGAATTCCTGACCAAACCAAAGGGTACAAATGAACCCCATCCTGCAGAGCACCCCCCTCCCCGTTACCTTTGGGGTCGGGGGAGGCTGTTTTGAGCTGCTCCGTGCCTCCTGCCTCTGCTCTTTTCATCTGGATGGGATAGCCACTCTTCTCCAGCCAAGCCTTCAGGTTCTCGATGTACTCCCTCCCAAAGAGCGTGGAATCATCGAAATTTGGGAAGGACGTCGGTGCTGGGGCCATCTCCTGCAGCCCCACAGCCTCCAGGATCTTCTCCTGCCTGAAAACAGAGGCCAGAGCAAAGGTCTGGCCCAGGAGGGCCAGGGATTTCCTGCAGAGGGACACAGTGGTCTCGAAGGCGTTGGCCATTTCCCTGGGGTTGCCAAAGCCGTTGGTTTTGAGGCTCAGCTCGTAGGCGTTGCAGGCCATCAGCAGCGGGGTCACCCCCTTGAGGAGCCGGTCCTGGAGCCTCATGATGTATTTATCAAAAGGTTTGATGATCTCAAAGAAGCAATTCTTGGTTTTCACGGCCCCCTTGTCCAGCAGCATGTTCAAGAACTCGTTGTCCACCTTGGGGGTTTTCAGGGCGGCGTGCTGCAAGCTCTTGATGGTGAAAAAGCAATAATCTCTGTGCTCTGGCCTCAGGGAGCACTTGAAGGAGGCCAACATCTTGGCACAGGTCTCAGTCTCCAGCTCGAAGAGGGCCCCGAAGAGCCGCGAGAACTCGGCGTCGTTTTTGATGGCGTGGAACCCGGCCCACTTGATGATCTCGATGCCGAAGGTGGAGAAAATGTCAGATTTATCCACCAGGTCGAAGCTGAGGTTCCTGAAGACGTGGGCGGGCTTTGGCAGCCTCAGGATGGCTCTCTGAGCTGCCAGGGGGTGAGGGGGCAGCTTGGGGTGCTGCTGGAGGGGCACCGGCCTCTGCTCGGCACGGTCGGCGACTTCCAGAGGCTGATCCAGAGCTTTGGGATCCATGCCTGGCTGTGGTTTCTTCACACCCCACTTCTTCAGGGGGCTTTTGATGTCTCCTTTGAACACCTTGGGTTTCACCACGCCCCTGGTGAGGCGTTTTCCCCTCAGCACTCTCCCCCTGCCCACGCCTCCCCTGCGCAGCGGCGGCCGGAACTCGCTGTCCGCTGCCTCGTACTCCTGATCCTCCACGCCGCCATACTCCTCCTCCATCAGCCCGGGAGACCTGAAATCCCCCAAAACCTCCGAGGAGCCAAACCCTGCTCCCTGCTGCCCGCCAGCTTCCCAGGAATCCGAGGGACCGTAATCCTGCTGCTGCCCGTAGTCCCTGTCCCGCTGCTGGCCGTACTCCCGGTGCTGCTGCCCGTACTCCCGGCCCTGGGGAGCAGCGTGGTGCCCGTATTCCCTGCTGGGGGCAGCTGCACGGCCAAACTTCCCGTAATCCCGGCCGAATTCCCGCTCCCGGGGCGCAGGGCGGGAGAACTGTCCGTGGAAATAATTCTCCTTGCGGAGCAGGGGGCTGGCAGCTCTGTAGGAAGGGCCGGGGTAATTCTCCCCGGGGTAGTTCTCGCCAGGATAATCCTCCCCGGGGTAGTTCTCCCCAGGATAATCCTCCCCGGGGTAGTTCTCCCCAGGATAATCCTCCCCGGGGTAGTTCTCCCCAGGATAATCCTCCCCGGGCTCCTCACTCCAGTCCTGGTGCTGGCAGTTGGCGTGAGGGAAGCGCCCGTCGTGGTGGAAGCTCTCGTTGTAGCGGGGCCGGGGCAGCGGCCGGGAGTGAGCTGGGCAAAGGAATGGACAGGTTGAAAATTAGAGGCTGAAAAGAGTCAAAATGGGGAGATTTCTGAAGGAAATCCACGTCAGCATATTCCCGTTCCCATATTCCGATCCCTACATAAATTCAGTTCTCCTCCAAATCAAGTTTTTCTTTGCTCGTCACTGTCTCAAGTCTTGGTCTTCTACCTGAGGCATAAAAACCATCAGAACTCTGAACTTTCAGCTTTCCCAGAATTTATAAATTGCCAAAGACCTCCAAGAGCAGCAAGTGCAAGCTTTGGCCAATCCCCACCTTGTCACCCAGACCAGAATTCCCAGGAGGAATTCCACAGCTGGAGAGAAATTTGGATTTTCTACAACTCAACCACAATTCTCTCGCTATTGCAGGAAATTCTCATTATCCAAGACCCCAATGCCAGAAGTTCAATTCAGCAAGTAAAGAATACTTGGAAAAAAATAGAAGTGTTTAATATAAATGATTTCTTCAGGGCTCATGCAACTCTAAAAATAACAGCCTTCATTTTAAAGCTCTCCTGTGAACGTCCATCCCTGTGAATCCAACCCAATATATATATATATATATATATAACTTATCACCAGCAATCCATCCAGCAGCAGCGTCCCCGGAGACCTGCCTGGAACCGGACCCGCTCTCCGATGCTGAAGACAATTCCTTTGTCTCAATTCCCATTTTTTTTTCCACCCCCCCGTTACGGTGCCCAGCTGTTCTCCTGCCTCTTCCATAAAAACGGGTGTGGAAAAACAGCAGCGCCAGGCGAGTAAATAAATAAATAAATAAATAGCTGAACCAGAACTCTGAACTTTCAGCTTTCCCAGAATTTATAAATTGCCAAAGACCTCCAAGAGCAGCAAGTGCAAGCTTTGGCCAATCCCCACCTTGTCACCCAGACCAGAATTCCCAGGAGGAATTCCACAGCTGGAGAGAAATTTGGATTTTCTACAACTCAACCACAATTCTCTCGCTATTGCAGGAAATTCTCATTATCCAAGACCCCAATGCCAGAAGTTCAATTCAGCAAGTAAAGAATACTTGGAAAAAAATAGAAGTGTTTAATATAAATGATTTCTTCAGGGCTCATGCAACTCTAAAAATAACAGCCTTCATTTTAAAGCTCTCCTGTGAACGTCCATCCCTGTGAATCCAACCCAAGCACCTTGCTGGACATTTTACATCCCAAATTTAAGAGATAAAACAATTCGGGGACCACATTTTGTGTCACGTCCATGAGGTCAATGCCCTGCTTTGAGCTTTTTTCCCCCCAAAAAATAACACCAACCACAATGCCCCAAAGGCTTCCAGCAGCACTCCTTTCTCCTGCCTCTTCCATAAAAACGGGTGTGGAAAAACAGCAGCGCTAGGCGAGTAAATAAATAAATAAATAAATAGCTGAACGGCAGGCGCTGCTCCCGCCATCCCCCGGTTCTCCTACCTGGGAAATGATGGATGGGGTCCCCCGCGGCACCGCTCCGGTACCGCTTCACCTTGTCCTGCACCACGGCCTCGAACGTCTCGCGGGTGATCCTCCGAGAGGCCATCTTCCCCTCACGGCACCGGGGAACGGCACGGCACGGCACGGCACGGCCTGGCGCGGGCCCGGGCTCCCGCCGCGGCCTGAGGGGAGGCGCGGCCTGAGGGGACCCTCACGCTTCCCCGCCGCCGCCCCCCGCGCAGCGCCGGGAGGAGGAACCGGAGCGGAGCCCGAGCCCGGCCCGCCCTCACCCAGGCGGCCCCGCCGCCTCCCGCCACACCGGGACCTCCCGCTGGCCACGCCCCCTTCGCCGGTAGACACGCCCCTCCCGCTGACGGCCACGCCCCTCCCGCCGGTCCCGGGGCTCACGGAGACCGCGGGTGGACACGCCCCCTCCTAGGCCACGCCCCTCGTCGGTATAACCACGCCTTCCCCTTCGCACGGGCCACGCCTCCTCATGCGTTAACCACGCCGCCGTGTCCCGCCCCCTCCCGCCGCGCCTGCGCTGCGCGGAGCAGCCTCATCCCCTGCCGCCGGGCGCGGGGCGGTACTAACGGTGCGGGCGCGCTGCCGGTAAGCGGGACGGGAGCGAGGGGAGCGGCCCGCGGCCTCCCGCTCTGAGGGAGCAGCCGCTGCCCTGCGGGCGAGCCCGGGCACGCTGCGCCTACTGCGCGTGCGTAGGAGCGGCCGGGCGCGGGAGCGGTGCGCATGCGCGTTGCCGCCCTCCCGCGGTCTTTTTCGCTCGGTGCGAGGGCGAGCGGTGCGAATTCGGGCCGCAGCGCATGCGCAGAGAGCGCGTACGGTGGCCGAGTGGGGCCGTCCCGCCTTCGCCTTTTGTCCGGCGGGGCGGCCGGTGGGAGTACAGGTGGGTCGTGAGGGGGAGCGGGGCCGCGGGTGCGCCCCGGAGCTCCCCCAGCACCGCCGCCTTCCTTCGCGGCCCTCTCCGCGTCGCTGGGGGCTGCGGGGCCTGCTGAGGGGTGTGGGATGCGCCAGGGCCCGGGGGAAGCGGAGCAGGGCGGGCTGAGGGCCGGGGGCTGTGACCGGGCACGGTGCCCTCCGTGCTGCAGCCCCGTCACGGTGACAGCTCCTGAAACTCTATGAAAATGCTGCTGAAATGTCTCCATATCCCTCTTCCCCGCCGCGTTTTCCCCATTAAATAAAACACCGGCCTTGCCTTTGGCTGGGTATCTTTGATTCAGAGTCCTGAGCTTTTGTCCCGGGGTAGAACAAGCCCCTTGCTCGGGTTCTGCTGGGCGTTAGAAGGTTTTGCACCAAAAGGAGCTGGGCCCTCTGTCAGCAGCAGGACACAGAGGTTACAGAACCATTGGAAGGTTTTGTACCAAAAGGAGCTGTCCCTCTGTCAGCAGCAGGACCCTGAGGTTACAGAACCATTGGAAGGTTTGGTACCAAAAGGAGCTGTCTCTCTCTCAGCAGCAGGACCCCGAGGTTACAGAACTATTGGAAGGTTTTGTACCAAAAGGAGCTGTCCCTCTCTCAGCAGCAGGACCCCGAGGTGCATCCAGCCCAGCCCAGCACCATGGGCTCCAAGCAGATCGCCCAGGAGACGTTTGACGACGCGGTGCAGGAGAACATCACCGAGTTCGAGATGGAGCCCGAGGAGGCTGTGAGGGAAGCTGTGCAGCAGTTTGAGGCCCAAGGTACTGTGCATTTTGCAGGCTGGGATTTTGGAAATCCCAGGGTTTAAAGGAATGCTGCAGGCAAAGATGGGTCGTGCAGCGTTGGAAAGGAGCCTTTGTGAAGTGGAACAGAGACACCATTAATGCTGACCTGGTTTTGTGGATTAATTATGACTGCAAAACTGCTTAGAGGGAAGCTGGAGGACAAAATTTGGTCAGTGAAATGAAATCCTTCTTTTTTCTCCCCCTCAACTAACATCTAGCTTTGTTCCAGACAGAATCCGACCTTACAGTCAGAGTTGAACATTTCAGCATCTTTACAAGTTCATCTTTGTTCTCTGTGGTTACCTTGGCAGCTTTTCCCTAGAGCTGGAACTAATGCTGTTTATTTGACTCTGGTTCTCCTGGAACCAATATTAAACTTGGTTTTGTTTCCCCTTTTAGGTGTGGACCTGAGCAATATTGTGAAAGCTGTGCGACCTCCTGCCTCTGAGAACGGGCAGAGGCAAAAGCATCAAATCCTGCTGGTAGGGGCACAAACTGCTGCTCTCTCTCTCAGGGTTAAATAATTATAATAATAATAATAATAATAATAGTACTAGGCCAACTTGTGCCTCTGCCCCATTTCTCTGGGAGCTCCTCAGGCAGTTATTCCCATTTCTTCTGCAAATATAAAATGTTCCAAGAGCTCCTTGCACGTTTCAGGGAAGGCTCTGTGTAGGTGAGGTGGGGTCAGGCTCTGCTCCCGGGGCAGGACAGGAGGGAACGGCCTCAAGGTGTGCCAGGGGAGGCTCAGCTGGGACATCAGGAGGGATTTCCTCACGGGGAGGGTGGTCAGGGCTGCCCAGGGAGGTTTGGGGTCCCCACGCCTGGAGGTGTCCCACGAGTGACAGGATGTGGCTCTGGGCTGGGGACAAGGTGGGGATCGGTCCCACTTAGCCCAGGTTGCTCCAGGCTCTGTCCAGCCTGGCCAAGGACACTTGCAGAGCTGGAATGAGCTGGTTGGACCCAGTTCAGCTGGTGCTGGTGCCCAGTGGAGCTGTGGCAGAGGTGGCAGAGGGACGCCCTGTCCCTCCAGGGGTTGCGTGCACAAACCCCATAAACGCCGCAACCACCGCTCCCATCACCCCAAACCGATTTTCAACCTCAAAATAACCACCTTGCCGTTCCTCCTGCACGCTCCAGGTGCAGAACTAACCCTTGGTGTGTCCCTCAGACCCTGGAGTGCCTGGGCAGAGCCGTGGCAGAGCAGGACGTGGCCCAGCTGCCCCAGCAGCTGTCGGCCTTCGCCGCGCAGTGCAAGGAGCAGCTCGCCTTCCGCCACCTGGCCGGCCAGAACGGCGCCTACCCCGCCGTGCTCTCTGCCTGCCAGCTGGCTGCAGGGGACAGGGATTTGCTGCTCCAGGCCTTCTCCACGCTGGGTGCCCTGCTGGATGGGCAGCCAGACCTGCTGGACGCCGCGGGGCAGGAGCTGCTGCTGCGGAGCCTGCGGGAGCGGCGCGGGGACGCCGAGGTGACGCTGGCCGGGATCCGCTGCGTGCGCCACGCCTGCCTCAAGCACGAGCACAACAGGCAGGGCTTTGTCAAGGGTGGCATCCTCCCTCTCCTCACTGGAGCCATCACCCAGCACGGCAGCAGTGCTGAGCTGGTCAGGATGGCAGCCTCGGCCCTCAGGGTCATGACGTTCGACGATGACATCCGTGTACCCTTCGGTCACGCCCACGACCACGCCAAGATGATTGTGTTGGAGAACGATGGGTTGAGAGTCCTCATTGAGGCTGCAAAAGGTAAAATGAGCCCTGGGGATGTTGATCCTGATGGGGAAGCAGCTGAGATTTCTTCTTATTGTCTCAGGAATCACTTGTGGTTTCTTCTGTCACTGTCTCAGGAATCACTTGTGGTTTCTTCTCAGGAACTGCTTTGGATTTCTTCTCAGGAATCACTCGTGATTTCTTCTCATTGTCTCAGGAATCACTTGTGGTTTCTTCTCGGGAGTAATTTGTGATTTCTTCTCGGGAATCACTTGTGATTTCTTCTCCCGTTGTCTGATTTCTTCTCTCCTTGTCATAACTTGAAGCTCCTTGGAGGCGATTCAAGAATTTGTCACTCAAATGGGGTTTAATTCTATCCGTGAAATGTGGCCTGATAGAGCCAGGAAGTGCCACCATGTGCTGCTGATAACCTGTGGAGCAGTCAGATGATCAGAGCAGTTTTTCACTGATTTTAGGAAGGATTTTAGAGGTTTAGGGCCCTATTGCCCAGAGAAGACATTGTGACTCTGGCTAGGAACAGAGTGATCAGGTGTCGTCTCCCCTGTTTTAATACATAAAATGAAATGCTTCCTGTGTAATTAATCAAAGTAAACCCCGTTAAGTGTGCAGTAATGACTCCATCCCTCCTCTCTCCTCCGCAGCCTTCAGGGATAACTCTGGGGTTCTCAGCGAGCTCTGTGCCACCCTCTCTCGCCTCTCAGTCAGGAATGAGTTCTGCCAGGAAATCGTGGACCTTGGGGGCTTAAATTTCATGGTGACTCTGCTGGCTGACTGCATGGAGCACCCGGTGAGCACTGGGAAGTGTTTGGGGGTGGACTGGGGAGCATCTCATCCTCAGCAGTGAGGTTCATGTTAATTAATGAGCCTTAGCCTGTGCAATAATTTGGGTGCAATCAGGGTTGAAACCCCTCTGATCCCTATTTATAGAATTAAATTAATTCTTTTAAATTTTAAAGGTAAAATTTGTGAGCTTCTTGCTCAGAGTTATCCCTGCATCCTCCAGCCTCCACCAGCAGAACTCTGCCTGCTCTCTGAAAAGCTGAATGGTTGGTTTTCCACCAGAAAGAGACTTCAAACAAAGCATTTAAATGCTCAAGTCCCAGAGGTTGATGTGTGATTTTTTAAGCCTCGCCGATGGTCTGGCAGAGTTTTTGAAGGTTCCTTGTGCAGCAAGGAAGCGACTGAGGGTAGAGTTTTTATAACTGATAATTGCCACAGCCATTTTCATGGAATGGGGGATGTTCTGCTTTGCTTTCTGAGCTCTCCAACTCTCTGTGCTGCTTTTTGATGTGCTGTTTCCCCCCGGGGCAGGACGTGGTGAAGCAGGTGCTCAGCGCCATCCGCGCCGTGGCCGGCAACGACGACGTCAAAGACGCCATCGTGGAGGCCGGGGCCACCGACCTCATCGTGCTGGCCATCAGCCACCACCTGGGCAACCCTCAGGTACCCTCCAGGCTGCCCTCAGGTACCCCCCAGGGCCTTGGGAGTTCCCTCTGGGATGGGCGTGGAGCTCAGCTGGAGCTGCAGGATGTGTGTGAGCAGTGGATGGGCCTCGAGCGCTCGGCTGCAGAGCGTCCAATATTTGTGTGAATTTAGGGCTTTTCCACCTTGTATTGGTTTATTTTTCTTATTCCTGAATCAGGTAGATGGTGGGGATGGTGTTTGACACCTCTGGCGTGCAAAACA